CTTTAAGAAAGATAGACCTTACGAGTATTCACATTAAAGTTAATAATTGAGCCATTTTGGGAGATTTACTCGACTGATGCCAGGGAGAAGTGAAAAATATATTTGCCATAGCACGTTAAGTCGCAGGTTTGAGCTTTAACCGTTAGTTAATACCTACTTATTTATGTAATTTTTGCCTTAATATAATATTTTTACCATTTGACGTTAATCAGAGTAATTATTGAAATCATACTTTAAATTTTAAAGCAAGCAAAAGCACTTCTTTTGACGGCTTAGATAACGCAGATTAATATCTTAAAGCTTTTTTCAAGTCGGCATTATATTTTAGCAACCACCCGCCATTCATCAATCATCGTTTTGAAACTAAGATTTATCTTTCGGGGTCTCAAAAAAAATGAAATGTTTCGCCGTCGCATAAATTAATCAAATAAGGTAAATCTTGATATTCGAAATATGGTAATTCGATTTTCCCCGATGTTCATTCGTTTCGTTATCTGCAAGGGTAATAAAAAGCCTTACAAACTGTTTCTCGAATAAATTAAAATATCAGATTACCAACTGTATCGTAAGGGGTCAGTACATGCTACTGCATAAAAACAATACAAACGCTGTATATCTCCTTTTGTATTAGACTAAGAGCTAGTGAACGCCAGACCTACGTCATTTTATAAAAGCTGAAAGTTTGTCAGCGTATGCTCCCAATATAGGATATAATGTTGGTGAATTATGAAGTTTGGGTCATCGTGGCTTTGGGAGCTACCCTAAAAAAGCTGTCTTACAAGGAGTTGGAACCTTCAAAACTGTCTGGCTGATGGGGAAAATACTGCTAATTATTGCCCAAATATTATACATAAAAAATCAGATTTTATGGTATAACGTAAGTCTAACTTTTACGGTGACCATTTCTGTATATTCAATAGACTGTTATTCTACTAACGTATTGAAACATGTTTGTATAACGGCTTGAAGCATGTTTGTAAAAAATATACCTATCTGAAATTTAACTTCGCCACTGTTAGAGGTTAGAGTGGTTTATATTGTCTGACTGAGGCTGACACCAAGGAATGTGTTAGCAATATTAATTTGCACAGTTAAGGAAAATACGAGCTCCTTAGCAAGTATGCTTTATTACTCTACCATCACGTGACCCATAGTATACTTACGAGTAACGAGTATACCAATTTACTATTCAGCAGAAATGTAATTTAGTCTTTAGACGTGTTATTTAACAGTACAGTTGGCAATAAGCAGTAAACTAGCACCATTAGCATTCAAGATGGGAGGCCAGTGTACCTAACAGAAGCCTGGAACGGTCGACTTGCGTCTTGGGGTCCAATTTCCCGTCTGATCCGGTACACAAACTTCGTAGTGGAACAATCCCAACTTAACCATAATCCGGCGTAAATCACCCACCTTTCATGATTGCGTGGCGGCGACAGCGGAGTGGCGCTACAGTGCCTATTCATTGAACCACAAGGTCAAACTTTGAAGCCGTCTTGTATACCAATTAAATCATATTCAAATTGTCTTTTATATACAACTATTAAGACGATGACGGCAATTAATTACCCGAATTCAAAATAATCTCGCAGTAAGAAATGAGAATTAATATTGTCAGAACAAAGGACGTAAATGAATTCAACCCATACAAAGTTTGGTTGAATTTGTGCTTAAAAAACAAAAGTTTAAGCCATTGGGAATCCTCAAATTTTAACAGCTATTACGCAACGATCAAGTTTACAGTACACTTAACCGCTTTAATTTTAAACTTTAAACCTCAGGGTAAATCTAAACTCCCCGAATTTACAGATATTTATTAGGTAAGTATTCTTAAAATACACGGTAGAAATTATCGGACTTTGGTCTGAGTTTCTTTAAAAATCGTTAATAGATTTGGATTCTCCCTTTGATGGTTTTTTTACGCGAAAACGATTTTTAAAGATTAGTTACTGAAGACGACCCTTCACCAAACTTAAAAGGTTATCTTACTAATATTATAAAAATGCTAAAGTTTGGATGTCTGGATGTCTGGCTAGATGTTTGTTACTCTTTCACGCAAAAACTACTGAACGGATTTTGATGAAACTTTACAGTACATACTTATTATTGTTTATAACCCAGAATAACACATAGGCTATAATTTATGACGATATGTGACAAACTAAATTTCACGCGGATGAAGCCGTGGGCAAAAGCTAGTACCTGTACTATTACTTATTCTGTGCTTATAGTATTAGATAGCTCATACTGTGTTATAAAAAGATGTAGATAAAATCTATCAAAATATAATTGATAAAAATTGTACCTAATGGTGTTGACACAGTCATAATTCTATTCTCGGAATGTATCAACCTCAATAAAAGCACAGAATAGGGAGGGAGATAATAATAACTAGAGATGAANCATCAAAAAAATTTTCGTGCCTCTAGCATCAATGTCCATGTTTTATTAAATCGGGACCACTGTGGGCCGTGCCGCTTTTTTGCTCGACTTGGTGGGGGCACTGCCGTGCCCCCAGATTTCACGCGGATGAAGCCGTGGGCAAAAGCTAGCCTACCTTATAGTATTAGATAGCTCATACTGTGTTATAAAAAGATGTAGATAAAATCTATCAAAATATAATTGATAAAAAATTGTGTTGTTGGTATGGTTGGTAAATTGGTAATGGTGTTGACACAGTCATAATTCTATTCTCGGAATCTATCAACCTCAATAAAAGCACAGAATAGGGAGGGAGATAATAATAACTAATAATAAGTACTTATTAGGCCAAGAAAGAAAGGGTTAAGTGATATTTTAGTAGTGTGACTTTATTATTCTTCGTGTTTTAATAGTATTTATGACATTATTTTTTTCTTTAAAATGCCTTACCTACCTATTTTTATATTGACTTGAACACACTTGTACTTATACTTTATGTTACCGCGGTGGCTCAATGTATCTAAGTACCCTAATATTTGATATAAAACGCCCTAAAAATAATTTTCAATGTACCAAACAGAAAAGGTCATGACGAGCACGAGATCTGTGAATTTTTTAGCACCAAGTCTGTGTGTTAAACCGCGGAGAGTCGGAAAGACAGACGCATTTGGGGAAACAAAAAGGTTCCATTATTTCGAAACTTGCGTAGCAACGGAAGTCTAAAACATCCGACTGTGCTCCTACTAAGTCATCTTGTTTCTTTTGTTTTGTTTATTTTCTTTCTTTTCCCACTGTGCAGTAGCTTTTTTTCCACACACTGGTCGAAGGTAACGAAAGTGCGTGACCAAATCGTGGCCGGCAGATAAACGCAGTTACGAGCGGCTGAGCCACTTCACACTTTTACGATGATCCTCGCAATCTCAAAAACTGCTCTTTCGTCACGTTGGCAAGTCAACTATAACGTTTATATGGGCCACAATAAAGTACATCACTTCATCAGAAATATGGACTGAAACTGCTTGCGTCGATATGTTTACCTATCAGCAGCATCAGCAGTTTTCCTTTTATGAAATCTAAATCATAGCTGATCCGAAAATAAAAGATTTTTTAAATGTAGAGCAACTAGAGAACTAAGTAGGTATACTATAAAATGAATGAGATGACCTTGTGACCTCTTCTTCTTAGTCTAATATTATTATCTACTCGTATGTCGTAGCATAGAAGTCAACATCAAAACACAAAGAAATAACGAAGGATCAAAGTGAAACATACATATTCACGAATACCCCGTTCTCTGTGCCCAGTACAATCGGTTAGCGCCTTGGCTCTCATTATTTTGATTTAGCATCAACTAGTAAACACGCTCATCAATCATCTCTTGATCGCTTAATCTTTGTCAGCATTTATCCATTCATAGTCAAACCTAGCACAATTACAAGAAACACCGCGCTCAATCCCGTTACACGCGTATTAGAACCATTGAGATCATCTATGATTCCCTTATATGTACACATTTTAGTCCCCAACCCAATTACAAGGGATGAATTTAACCCTTCAAGTGTGGGTTGGAAATTACACCACGTGTTTCGCTGAATAATTTAATAGCGTGCAAACGCAGGCATACTGTACGCTCCAGCTACATTATGCTAGAGTTATTTTAAATCTAGACGGTCTAAATTAAACCCTACAAAAACATAGTAACTAAGTGGTTTTATGTGTAGCAATTTCACAATTCTATGTTTAGGTACATATTATATACTTACAGCATTCTGCGTTTCAAAATAAGCGTCTATGATAGAGACCCACTCTGGGAGTTATATCGCTGCAATGTCGTCGTCAAAATATTTCTATTGATCAAGCAGTTAGCAAAATAAATGCAACAAGTTTAAAAGAGACTCCAAAATATCTGAAATAAGTATTTTTTCACGAATATTTCAAAGTATTATGTATTTTGCAACCGAATCCCATGCTAAATTCAAATTATTTTTGATAAAAAATATTTGCCATGATCCTAGGAAATGGTATAAAGGCAGGTTCAGCGCTGCCTTTAATTGAAACTAAGACAAGTTTCAGACCATATATTTTTTTAAATCAAGTTTATAACATGAAATATTTGCAAAATTATTTTACATTCAAATACGTTTGCTGAAACACCTTTGAAAGTCTGCGGCGCGGCTGTTTGACATCGCTGAAATAAAAAATGCAAACACAGTCGTTATTTTTAAAGTACACTGCAGTTTTAAAACGCGGAACGTTTCGTTTGGTGTTTCTACGCTCAATTAGGTGTGGGGAGGTGGCTTGGGAGCCGCACGCCGTTTATAGGGCTCAAATTAAATTTCAAGTTACATTTACGGGGCTGTTAAAGCCCCAGCGATACGGGGCGAACCCGTTACTTTGACGTGCTGTTCCGGGTTTCATTGTTTCGTGGACGGAACTACGAATGCAGTATTAGGGATGCAATACAACGGCCCGACTTTTTGTATTTCTTTTTAAATATACTTACTACTAATATAACAAAGAAGATGATTCCTGGATGTGATTCTGCCTGAAGACGATTTTACTGATTTTACGGCAAAAAACTTTTTTTAATGATAGAATCACCTAAAAAGAGAACAATATGGATTGTCTATCAAACTGTTTTATCCTGGCCATTGCACTAAGTGACACGGAACAAAAACAAACAATGATGGTCCTGTCATAATTTTACAAAATTACCAGATTGATTATAAACATTTTTGTCATGATTAAGTAAATTAACCCCAACAAATAACATTTTGCACAAAATAATTGCAATGTGTTAGTAATTTTAGATCAAATCAGCAGTATGAATGACTTTTCAAGTTTAGAAAAAACTATAGTGCGTGAGTTGTCGTGTCGTTTGTGTCTCTGTACAGACGTGGTGAAGCTCAAGCCGCTCAGCACCGAGGTGAAACGCAGAATCAAAAGGCTCTTTGATATCATAGTAAGTTGATATTACACTATTACTGTAGTTACGGATATCCTTGCGACAAAAAGTCGGCCGCTGACTCTTCAATGACATTTTAGACGTTTCCTTGCAAAGTAGATATTACATCAACTCTGAAATCGGAGCCATGCAGCCTTAGCCATGGAAGAGCAAGTTGAACAAAGTCTAACAACTGGCATTGTATAAATTCAATTCAAATGAAACGGAACGCTTTGTAACCGACGAAGTAGATCACCACAAAAAAATGAATACCTAAATAGGTACATGCAGACTCGCAGCTTTAATGTAAGGCCCAGATGATTTAAACTCAAGTATAGGTTCAAGCCTATTGGTTGAATTTCAACCGACCAGTCTTGTATCTAATCTTGAGTATGTTCATAGGTACTTCGTCTTTTTGGAATAATGTACTGTATCGCATTTACTTTTCATAATCAGCCGTCTCTGATCCCATACAAATCATATCAGTCAATGTGAATCGCGATCATTAAGGAAAATGAAACAAAAACATCGCCTTGGTGGAACGGAGTGTCTTTGTATCCTCACGCCCCAAATTTAATCAGACACATAGTAGCTTGTCGCACGTTTTCCTTCCCTGCTTTCACGCGACAAAACTGGGAATGGGTTACCTTGCGTACATTACTTTTTATCAGAGCTACAAGGTTTATTAATGCCAACAAACATCGAGCGTAACGTTATAAAGTATCTGTTTTGGGCTAATTAGAAACATATCTGTGTTTATTCATTAAATTAATTAAAACATTACAGGTGCGCACAGACGACAATCTTCCAAAAGCAATATGCCACGACTGCCTGCAACAAGTGGCCGCTATGCACCTGTACGCTGTCAAAGTAGAGAAAACTCAAAAGTTCCTTGACTTCCACAAACTAAAATCTCTGGAAGAAAGAAGAGAACAGCAGTCGATGGACAAAGTGCACCCTGTGGCAGCCTCACAATCCTCCCAAAACGTTACAGAATCAAACAAGAAACAGCCAAATGCGCCCAAACCCAAAACGCCTCCCTCCGAACACCAGCAAGGTGACGTGAAACCGGCCAAAAAGCAAATCCCCAAGAAAAAATCGCCATCAGACATGAAGTTTATGGAAGCAATGCCATTGGAAGAGTTCGCAAAAGCGGAGAAAGTAGATAAATCGTTACTCAATAGCACGTCATTGGTTAACAAACCTCCGACACAAGCGGATAAGAAAGAAGCGAACAAAAAAGAAAGCAGAACAGAATCCGCCGAGTTGTCTGAAGCCTTAGATCCGATTGTCCTGATAGACGGCAGGCCTGCGCGGCAAGGCGCCGCCTTAGACAGACAAATAACGCTGTTTTACAAAATGGAATGTTGTATTTGCCACGAAAAAGGTTTTCATTTCAGGTCTTTGATGAAACATTATAAAGACAGGCACGGCGTGCCCGGGTATGTGACGTGTTGCGAGAAAAAGTTTCACTATTTCTACCCAAAGAAGATTATAGAACATATGGCATTTCATTTGCAACCGAATATATTTATGTAAGTAGTAGAAAACACTCATATTCCAATTCAAAGCGCTTAAGCTTTACTGAAGGTACATAAAATCCTTCTACTATATCTTGTGGGAGTGTGATCTTTGGAAACATGAACGTGATATACCTAATTCTTAATTCAATACAACATACATACATCTGTTTCCGCAATTTATTACACCGATCTTGTCGCTACAAGGAAAAATTTCTGTGCTTTTAAGCGATTTTGTGAAAAATATTATTGGCAGGTAGGTTGCTAATTGCTCATAAGATAGGCCCCCTTAATTGATATTTATTGTCCGTGGTGCATAATCTTTTCTTAAAGGTTTTAAACCTTTGTTTGTCACCTGTCATCCGCTTTGCAATGGAGGGAAGTCGAACCTTAATTTTGAACTCCTCCTATGTTCTTCTGATTAATTTCGTTGCTGGTCCAATGACAGTTTAACTTTCCCCCGGGACAAACTTGACCTTCATTGGTTGGGTTTTTGTGGCGGTCAAGCTGTAGATCCTGGATACACAGGAGTTGCAGTGGTGGGAACGAGAGGCGGGAATAGTCCCGTTACTATAATCTGTGCAGGTGTTCAAGCTGCCACCAGAACTTCCAAACATCTCAAGAACTGGTCGAGCACCAGAGCAACGGCGGGCGCTCCGAGGGCAAGATCGTGTGCCCGCGGTGCACGGAGCGCTACCCTACCTACCGCGAGCTCGGCTGGCACGTGGTCTCGCACCGCTCCGACAAACTACAGTGCGATTATTGCGGTAAAATGTGAGTATCCACCCTCTTACGTATACTAAGGGGTACAATGTGTCTCTGGGACATTAGAGCAACGAGAGCTCCGAGGGCAAGATCGTATGCCCGCGATACACGGAGCGCTACCCTACTTACCGCGAGCTCGGCTGGCACGTGGTCTCGCACTGCTCCGACAAACTACAGTGCGATTATTGCGGTAAAATGTGAGTGTCAACCCTCTTATGTGTACTGAGTGGTACAATGTATCTCTCGAGAACCGGTGCTCCATACACTCTACATAAGCACAAAATAGTTTTCTTTCATGCACCAATACCATTTTTCCTATTTTCAGGTTAAAGCATCATCACAGAAAGAAGACAATAAATCACATGGAAGACGTCATACTTTGTTCACAGTGTGTTCGTACCCTAAGAAATATTGAAAAACAAGAAAAGGATATTGTAAGCAAATCTAAATCATTCCAATAGTCAATCAATATACAATTTCGTGTTTGTGTCACGTGACCACTTTTTTATTTCAGAAGGAAAAAGTAAAAGCTAAGAGTAATGACGCGATAACTTTGCAAAAGTATCAGAAATTTAGACAGGCCATGGGACTTTCGGGCGACGAAGAAGCATCGACAGACTAAATAACTTATCGCACAGCAAATAAATGTCCTTGTTAAAAAAAATAGTTAATAAGAAAACTTTTCGAAAATATTTTTGGTGAAACTTAAGTGTACAATGGATGTTTGGAATAAAACAGATTTATTTTTGATAAGTCGTGGTTATATTTTCAAACTTACCCCTACTTTAACAATGACATAATTATTCTATTCTAAGCGGCGTTTCTTGACTAGAGACCCTAGGAGATCTGAAATGGCAGGCAAATTATTGGTTTGATCATTCGCGCCAGTGTTCAGGTTGGACAGAGGGATATTTAGCTGGTTGGACGAGCTCTTCTGAGTTCCCTTCATGTTGCGGTGCTGCGGGAAGCTTGGCATCAGCTTAGGGTCGCATGCTGTAACAAGAAATTGATATAAAATAACTTACAATCAACTGTCTTCATAGAAATTGCCCAAATCCATTTCAACAGTGCCAAGCATTGCCATGAAATGATCTTAGGGCATTCAACATTAAAGATTGTGATACGTATTAAAATAAGTGTCNGTCCGGATGTCGTCATAGTATTATGGAATACATATAAAATACTTTTATTATTTCATTTTTTAATCCTCAATTGTCCGTTACAATCTAATTAATATTTAAGTATTCAAAAAGTAAGAGATTAATTTTGATACTTTACTGCTGTGCCCAGGAATCTGAGGCGGTTTCTGACAATGTCCTTTGTATGCCTTTTCTAAAGGTTATAGTGCATAACTAATAAATTCCTGTTGCAATAAAGCAGCACGAGAGTTTGTTTTTTTACGTCAAACTCCAGCAAATGACAGTCCGTTCTATTACATCACATGTCACTCTTGCACCGCCCAGACCACCCTAGAGACCTACTCGGTTATGAGCTATGTCTAAATAATATACAAAGTAACTAATAATACTTAATACTCAATGCAAAAAAAGATAGAACCCCAGCTGTTTTTTTACATCACCAAAAACGAAACTTACAGGCAGCCAGGGGAACCACTGCTTGAGGTTGTTATACGGCTGCTGCTTCAGTAAAGTTACAATATCACCAGAAATGTAACTTACGCAGCGGCTGTTCCTTGAAGTAAGAGCTTTGCAGACACTCTTCAGCTGTGGCCCGCTTGTCGGGGTCATACATGAAGAGGAAGTTGAGGAGCCGTAGTCCCGCAGCCGACAGCCAGGGGAAACGCTGCTTGAGGTTGTTATACGGCTGCTGCTTCAGTAAAGTTACAATATCACCAGAAATGTAACTTACGCAGCGGCTGTTCCTTGAAGTAAGAGCTCTGCAGACACTCTTCAGCTGTGGCCCGCTTGTCGGGGTCATACATGAAGAGGAAGTTGAGTAGTCGTAGTCCTGCAGCCGACAGCCAGGGGAAACGCTGCTTGAGGTTGTTATACGGCTGCTGCTTCAATAAAGTTACGATATCACCAGAAATGTAACTTACGCAGCGGCTGTTCCTTGAAGTAAGAGCTCTGCAGACACTCTTCAGCTGTGGCCCGCTTGTTGGGGTCATACATGAAGAGGAAGTTGAGGAGCCGCAGTCCTGCAGCCGACAGCCAGGGGAAACGCTGCTTCAAGTTGTTATACGGTTGCTGCTTCAGAGTAAAATTCTGCAGCGCCGGCAGAGAACTGAACTCTGGCCAAATGGCATCAGACGGTGTGCCTGTTGAAGAATGAAATGTCTCAATTTATAATACAGACTACATCTATTGGCTTGAATAACTGATGTAATGCAGCAATGGCAGGAATGGTCTACAAGTCCCAGTGTGCTGGGACAGCAAAATTGAGTTATGAGTGCTCTGCAATGTAATAATATGGCTAACATGACAAATTAGCTTCACTACACAGCATTTGGCTCAAGGTGACCCAAAGAGCGATGGAGCGTGCTATGCTCGGAGTTTCCCTGCGTGATCGAAATGAGGAGATCCGTAGGAGAACCAGAGTGACTGACATAGCCCGCAGAATCGCTAAAATCAAGTGGCAGTGGGCGGGGCACATAGCTCGAAGAGCTGATGGCCGCTGGGGCAGGAAAGTTCTTGAGTGGCGACCACGAGCTGGAAGACGTAGCGTGAGCAGGCCTCCCACTAGGTGGAACGACGATCTGGTGAAGGTCGCGGGAAGTACCTGGATGCAAGCGGCGTAGGACCGGTCTTTGTGGAAATCCTTGGGGGAGGCCTTTGTCCAGCAGTGGACGTCTTTCGGCTGAAACGACGACAAATTAGCAGGGGCGTGGCTTTCGCCGTATCGATCGACCCCTACAGCTTAGGGGCCCCAAACATGTTTAAATAAATAAACGTAATTTTGGACCCANCAGCCGTAGTCCTGCAGCCGACAGCCAGGGGAAACGCTGCTTGAGGTTGTTATACGGCTGCTGCTTCAGTAAAGTTACGATATCACCAAAAATGTAACTTACGCAGCGGCTGTTCCTTGAAGTAAGAGCTTTGCAGACACTCTTCAGCTGTTGCCCGCTTGTTGGGGTCATACATGAAGAGGAAGTTGAGGAGCCGCAGTCCTACAGCCGACAGCCAGGGGAAACGCTGCTTGTGGTTGTTATATGGCGGCTGCTTTAGAGTAAAGTTACAATATCACCAGAAATGTAACTTACGAAGCGGCTGTTCCTTGAAATAAGAGCTCTGCAGACACTCTTCTGCTGTAGCCCGCTTGTTGGGGTCATACATGAAGAGGAAGTTGAGCAGCCGCAGTCCTGCAGCCAACAGCCAGGGCAAACGCTGCTTCAGGTTGTTATACGGCTGCTGCCTCAGTAAAGTTACAATATCACCAAAAATGTAACTTACGCAGCGGCTGTTCCTTGAAGTAAGAGCTCTGCAGACACTCTTCAGCTGTGGCCCGCTTGTTGGGGTCATACATGAAGAGGAAGTTGAGTAGTCGTAGTCCTGCAGCCGACAGCCAGGGGAAACGCTGCTTGAGGTTGTTATACGGCTGCTGCTTCAATAAAGTTACGATATCACCAGAAATGTAACTTACGCAGCGGCTGTTCCTTGAAGTAAGAGCTCTGCAGACACTCTTCTGCTGTAGCCCGCTTGTTGGGGTCATACATGAAGAGGAAGTTGAGCAGCCGTAGTCCTGCAGCCGACAGCCAGGGGAACCACTGCTTGAGGTTGTTATACGGCTGCTGCTTCAATAAAGTTACGATATCACCACAAATGTAACTTACGCAGCGGCTGTTCCTTGAAGTAAGAGCTCTGCAGACACTCTTCAGCTGTGGCCCGCTTGTTGGGGTCATACATGAAGAGGAAGTTGAGGAGCCGCAGTCCTGCAGCCGACAGCCAGGGGAAACGCTGCTTCAGGTTGTTATACGGCTGCTGCTTCAGTAAAATTACAATATCACCAAAAATGTAACTTACGCAGCGGCTGTTCCTTGAAGTAAGAGCTCTGCAGACACTCTTCAGCTGTGGCCCGCTTGTTGGGGTCATACATGAAGAGGAAGTTGAGGAGCCGCAGTCCTGCAGCCGACAGCCAGGGGAAACGCTGCTTCAAGTTGTTATACGGTTGCTGCTTCAGAGTAAAATTCTGCAGCGCCGGCAGAGAACTGAACTCTGGCCAAATGGCATCAGACGGTGTGCCTGTTGAAGAATGAAATGTCTCAATTTATAATACAGACTACATCTATTGGCTTGAATAACTGATGTAATGCAGCAATGGCAGGAATGGTCTACAAGTCCCAGTGTGCTGGGACAGCAAAATTGAGTTATGAGTGCTCTGCAATGTAATAATATGGCTATAGCCTGACCAGGAACATAAATACCCTGGCATAGCGGCGCGTCAATTGCATTTGATAGTGCAACACTGAGTACAGTCGTACCTGTGTTAAATTAATAGGCTAACTTTATGTATCAGGATTCAGGATTACGGGCCAATTTGATATTTTCATGAATTAACGAAAAAATATTATTATAGGTAACCTGGTTTAAATAACTTAAATGAAAACATCAATCAAGCTAGTAGGATTTATTTTATTATTCATCAATAATCAAATTGAGAACTTGAATATTCAACTGCAATGTCTGCTCATGAACGCTTCAAACTCGGTACTTCTTTCCCAATTCCATAAAATTCAACACTTAGAAAGTGACAAAAAACTTTAAAATAGGTAGTTGAAACAAACGACAGCTAATTTTCATAGTGGACTGTACTATAGATGACCCACGCTGAATTGTCCCACCAAACTCAATGACAGGGGGGCGCTACCATCGTTCAACTATATGGTTTCCAACATGGCAAAAATCTGAACCAGCGATCCGGTATTGACGGTGGCGCCCCACTGTCAATGTCATCGACAGGACAGTCCAGTATTTTGGAACTATATACGATAAACATGTCAGTCAATTTGACACCCTTGCCTTGTCGGAAAAATTATTCAATGAAAATATTGTCCGAACCCTTAGTATTTCTCTTCGACAAATACTTTAACACATTGTGAACCACTTTTCTTTCACGACTATAAAAAGATTTTAGCAATGTACCTAATTAACAAAATTAATTGCGCACATTTAAAATAAAGTTTGTTTACACTTTGACAGCAATAGACAGACATGCAAGGTGACATGTCAATGAAGTTTTCAGTTACTGTTGCCATTAAAAGAAATTAGTACCATTAGTTTTCCGCAACATGGCAAGGGTTTTTATATTCCTGTGGGTCTAGACAAAGTGCAAATTATAATCGCAAACCAGTCGAAAAGTGGTCGAAAAGCCCCTTTTTTGTATGGAGTTTTGACGGATTCGATTTCCGATTCGATCAAAAAGTGCGTTTTGTCTAGGGGGGCTGGTCAGGCTATAACATGACAAATTAGCAGGGGCGTGGCTTTCGCCGTATCGATCGACCCCTACAGCTTAGGGGCCCCAAACATAAATGAAACGTAATTTTGGACCCACAATAAATTTTGACACAAGGCCTACAACGACGCCTACGAGTGAAAACCTCTTGTGTGTAAAAAAGTATTTTTTAGAACTGTTAGACCGAAAAGCATAAAATACATAAATATGAGAAAAAATGCATTTCCGAGGTTTTCACTCTAAAGCAATGATATAAGGCACGATACACCACTGCAAATTAGTTTAAAAAGTACTAAAACAGATAACTTACCGAGTAAATCAACAATAAGCTCCAACTGTTCAATCTCAGTTCTGCCAGGCAGCAACGGCTTGTTGGCCAGCAACTCTCCCAGAATACAGCCCGCCGCCCACATATCGAGGGCTGGCGTTTGTCGCGGCGCTTGCAGCAGCAACTCGGGTGCTCGGTACCACAGTGTCACCACGCGCGGTGTAGCGCAGCGCGCGGGCGCTCCCAGCCACCGCGCCAAGCCAAAATCAGCTGTAAACGTGTGCCGATAAGGTTGATACCAGTTACAAATTATTTAAAGGGAACATTGGACATAACAAACAAATGAAAGTTGAAAAAACAATGCTAAGCAATATAACTAGCTCCGACTAAGCCTAGGCGCAGACCACCAACTTTTAGTTAGCCGATAGTTGGATTCTAATTTGTATGAAGAATCGGCTGATACCAAATCAGTGTGATGTGTGCATAACAGACCGATCCATCGGCCAACTAAAAATCGGTGGTCTGCGCCTAGGCTAAAAGATTCAAATTCAAATTTTTATTGTATTATGTACATACAAGTCTAATTTACATAAATTTACGTACTTACCGATTTTAACACATCCTTTGTCAGTTAAGAGTAAGTTAGAGACTTTTAAATCTCTGTGTACGATGAAGTTGGAGTGTAAGTATTTTAACCCTTTCAAGACCTGTAGCATCAGGCACTTGACTTGAGACTCCGTAAACGGTGAAGACATGTTATCTAGAAGTGACGCCAAGTCTTGTTCACAATACTCCATAGAAAGGAAAATACTGGAAAAATATGTAAGCATTAAAATAACAGATACAAATACAAGTATTATTAAAATTGTTTAATAATGCAAGGCTTAATGTCATTCATTAAATTCTATTTAATTTTGATCTTCTTTTACAAGTTTTGTTTCACATCCAATACATGATCCAAAAATGTGTCTATCTGAGAGCTTTGTTTACTTTTTTTAGTACTTAATAACACATGAAAAATATTTTAGACTAAAATAATTAATTTCTAAGTAGTGTCCATAAAAGTTACCTTTCTAAGGAGCGCCCAACAAGTACTTCTTTTAACTGCACAATGTTCTCGTGCCTGCAAGCCATGAGGACTTGAATCTCTCGGAGGCCACTTAGAGGCAAACCATCTTTCTCCACGTCCATCCTGACTTTCTTCAAAGCAACTATGCTGCCATTCAACTTATCTTTGGCTCTATCTGTTAAATTATTAACACAAAACATAAAGACACATTTTCAAGTATTAAAAAAGAAAAATTATATTAGCAGCAATTTAGCAGATGAACAATAATTACTTACATACAATACCATAAGTGCCTTCACCGATGCGATTTAATTTTTCAAATTCACCAACAAATCTGCATCTACCGAGCTAGAAATAATAACAATTAAAAAATAAAGTATAGGTTGAGATTAGAAGAAACAACCACAATCCAAACAATAAAGGTTAGGATACCGTACTATGTCTTTTTCAGGAATTTCCATGGTTTTCCCAGTCCTAAAAGAAATGAGTACACCTTTACGGGCCGTAGGGCCTGTAGGATCAGCAACATCTTGGTTTGAAGACGGTTTTTCAGAATCTGTAAGAGCAACACCATAGAATTAAATTGATTTTTTAAATTTCAATGACATGAAAGGAATTAGAGCATACTTACTCTGAGACATAATTTCGGAGATACGTTGAAGTAATCCCCAATTAATACAAAATAATGGTTCCTTCTAAATTCTAATAAAATCGATGCCGCTCTATGAAAAATCGACCCAACCCAAGTCCCAAACAAAACACCAGTCACCAACAATCAATATGTTTTTTTTTTTTCGATTCACTCCACCCACCACAGATTCACTCACTTCGATTCTTTTCCTTTGTGGGAAAAAGCAAAGGCTAATGCCTTTTGTACCATACCTAATGGTAGTTATACTAAGTTTTAACAAATCAATTAAATATTCTATCTAACCCTTTACTTGTTGATGAATGAATAATGTTAGTGCAGTGAATGCAACTGCCATAAGAACGATAGGATAGGATAACACTAAAATGCTGTTTAATTACGCTTAATTATAAAAGCTTACAACGTATTGTGTAATAAAATTTGTCTCTAGAAATTCCGCTGGCCACAATACTGCTGTAACAGTAAGGCAATGCTATAAAAGTAGAAACACACATAATAATCTGTTTATTTACTGTTTGGTTGGTTAGTTGTTGGTATCAATCAGCTGATAAACTTGAAGAACGAACATCCGTGCGATTATCGAGCCGGTACGTACCTACCTTATCTTTTATATCTAACCTATTTTAAATTGTTTTACATCTCTAAATAACGTATTATATAATATATAAGTAGGCTATAACGTAGTAATACTTTTATAATATTGAATTATTTGTACCTAAAATAATGTAGTTTCTTTGCACATCCCTCATTCATGTTGCTACGATAATGTGGTGCAATCTTAGATTAAAAGGGTGCAATACAAGTAAGATGCAAGGTTCCGAGTTCGACTAATACTTAAGTAGGTACAATAAACTCCCACTATAATTAATTAAGTAGGTACTATGTATTTTAAAAATGTAACATAAAGTTACATACATAATAGAATTCTTGATAGTAAAAATTAAATGTTTTGATTCGCAATAGATATTTCACAATATCTTATTGGTATAAAGGTCCCTACCTACCGAATTTGAGAATGTGATTCACGTAGTACCTACTTACTTTAATAATAATAAATATTCATGCATGCGCGTAAGGGGGCTAATCGCACCCAAAAATGACACAGTTTAATTATTTTTTTTTTTCCGAGCGATCTTAGATTATTCTATACGCGGGTGTTATAATGTAGCCAATAATAATTATATAGGGTTAATAATAATATACACAGTCTTTTATTGAATAAATACAATCATAATTATTTTCATTTTAGATTTGTATTGAAAAATCATAAGGTGGAGTGGCGATAAAAAACTATGTATTAATAATAAAAAGTATAAAATTAAATTGTGTTACAGTGCAATATTATTTACTTTTATAATTTAAAATTATTTAACCATTAAAATGCTGCTTTTACACTGCGCGGAAATTAGCCAAGTCAAGTCAATGTGAACACACACCGAACAGTGGGGTGGGGATGAATATAGATGACCATAGATATGGATCACAGAATATGGATTAGAGTAGATATAGGTGTACCAGAATCTCATGGCAAACGAAAATATTGGAAAAGTGTGTTTTTCATATGGCAATTGTCTATGGCTTTATTGTCACCTGTCAAAGAAAATTATGAAGTCTGTCAGCCGCTGCAAAAATTTCGTAATCTCTTCTTGACTATTTGTTATTTCTATGTAAAAGTCGAAAAAGCTCAAGCAATTCATATTGTTTTCAATGTGAATTGTAAAATAAGGCGTAATTCAAAGTCAATCTTTGATTTTAAAGCGCGTCGTCGAGTTGACAGTAAGTTGAACTAAAATGTTTTGATAATTTAGTTTATTACCCAACTGCGTCAGAAGGGTTATGTTTTTTATATTATTCTTACTTAATAGCTACTTTATCGGGATTTTCAGGTGTATCTCACAAATTGGTATAGATGAATGGTCAAAATGTTATGACTATGTAAAGAAAATTGAATAAGATTTCATCAAGCAAGATTGAATAATGGAAAAGGTTCCAATTTTTTTCTTTTAAATAAACTTGAAATAAATATAAGTAAAACTCATAAACATTCGGAGTATAAACAGTAAATCACACCTCTGGTCCAGTGCTGTCGACAGATCCATTTTTTTTAAATATAGCAGTTTTTAATTTTTCAGCTAGGGTCCCTCAAGATTCTTTCTTAGTAAAATTTTGTAACCTTTTTTTAAAAATATCCCAGACCCATATACAAAAAGAACGGCACCGCCTATTTTTCAGTTCCACGCGAAAATATGTAAGTAATTTAAATAATTAATTTCTCAGACATTTCTTGATGGATTTCAAAAAAAACTTCACTGTCTTTTTAGTTCTGGTCTATATTTTAATCCCATTCAGAGAAATATGTTTTTTTTAATGCTGGAAGAGCAATTTATTTACAATACGTCTTGATCATCTACACTCAACATCAAATAAATCGCACCTCCCGCAACAAGCACTTTCAAACGTATGCATCCCCACTTCCCACCAATATTGGCACCATTTAAAAGCCTAGTTCTAAGCTTCATTTCATTAAAGGAAACGTTTTTACCCCAAAAATGTGTCTTTAGAAGGATCCAGAGACACTTCTTCAAAAAATTGGCTATTACGCTTGAGCCAACTTTTATGGCTGTAAAACTGTTAAGTTGGGATTGATCGGTATCCATCTGTTAAAGAGGACACGTGTGATCATTATTTGGTTTTATAACCATAAAATTTGGTCTAATTGATCCCAGAGGTGAGCCCAGAGTGAGGTCTCTTTTCAAGTCACATTTATGGTATAGCTTTCCGCCCGCGGCTTCGCCCGCGTGGAATTTTGTCTGTCACAGAAAAACTTTATCGCGCGCGTCCCTGTTTCAAAAACCGGGATAAAAACTATCCTATGTTCTTTCCCGGGACTCAAACTATCTCTATGCCAAATTTCATCAAAATCGGTTGCGAGGTTTAAGCGGGAAAGCGTAACAGACAGACAGACAGACAGACAGACAGACAGACAGAGTTACTTTCGCATTTATAATATTAGTTGGGATGATAATCATTTATTTAGAAATTAAATGTCTTTTTCTTTAAGGATATTTATTGGGCTTTCAAATAACACCAATATTGTTGGGGCACCATGATTGTGTCAGAAGAAAATCTTTAAAGTTCGCGTCGCGGAAGGTGCGGTTTATTTGATGTTAAGTGTATTACAAATACAAATATTTTATTTATGCAAACACACCGTTTACGCATACACCTTCAAATACAATTGGTAACAATGAAATCGGTAAACATTATATAGCTTTGTCTGCGGGTCCCACACTAGGAATAACCTGTGTCGTGGGCACCCAGTGGATTATTGAAGAACAAACAAGAAATGCAAGTGGAGTTCTTAGAATCGTTTTCTAGTTCTGAATGAAGTGATAAGTTATAAGTACTATGATGCATAATAAAATTAGTTACTTAAAGTAATATACGATTTATTTATTTTTCAAGACTTTTTCCTATGTTAAAAACTCGATGTATACAACATTCTTCATACACATACCTACTTAAAATGTATATTCGTACTTAATGTTCATTAATATTAAAGTCATAAAAGTAAAAAATGAAACAGTATCAAGATCGTTTATTCCAATTTCCCCAGTATTGCTCTCAACAAAGTTTATTTTCCCTATTTGCCATGAGATTCTGGTACACCTATACAGCAAGTTGATCGTCAAAGCGTGCCATTCCGATATGTCNCTGTGGGTGGGACAGTTCAGCGTGGGTCATCTATAGATGACCCACGCTGAACTGTCCCACCAAACTCAATGACAGGGGGGCGCTACCATCGTTCAACTATATGGTTTCCAACATGGCAAAAATCGGAACCAGCGATCCGGTATTGACGGTGGCGCCCCACTGTCAATGTCATCGATAGGACCATAGAGAAAAGTAATACATAGGAAATAGAGAGCCCTCTCTGTCAATTTTTTGAACCTACTAATTGACAGCCTGAGCCCCGATTACGGTAACTTTTAACGTCTCCAATCCAGACACGCTTCTCGATTCTGCGATACGATTGGTCGTTCATCAGCGTACGTCAGCTGTTTTGACCAATCGTATCGCAGAATCAGAAGCGCGTCTGGATTGGAAACGTTAAAAGTTACCGTAATCGGGGCTCTGGTGTTAAATTCCCTGTACTTAACCTACGTACGTAACGCTTACATATACCTTGATTTTTTAGAATCCAGCAGAGATGTAAACAAACACTTTCATACACAATTACACCATAATCACTTAGGTGTTCATAATATCATACACATTATTTAACAAGCCCATAAAACCAACTTTATTTTCACGTTTAAACAAGTTTGAAATCAATCTTTGAAACAAATATTTTAGCAAAATACGTGGAAGATGAAAATTTGTGAGACTTGTCAAATTGACTTGACGTTTAAAATCATGTGTTATCTCCATATTGTCTATGACTTGTCTCTGCCACATCAGTGCTGTAACCTGTGAGTCATAGACAATAATCTGTAAATTTAATCGATATTATTTTAAGTATTCACTTATTCCGATTACTGATTAATTTTAAATAAAAAATTTACGATACTTTGTTTAGTTTTCCAGCGATGTAGTACGTGGTGTCCTGGAAGTGACATAAGATTCCACGCGTAAGTGTTTATTTCGTGATTTCCGACATTGGATCATTGTAAACATTTTTCACATTTTTTACAGTAATTTCTTCCTAAAACGTTTTACCAGTAATTACACTTATCATTTTTAATGATACCTATGTCAAGAAATAAAGATTTTACATTGGTTTCATTGAATTTGAGCAATTTTATATTTTTTGTTTATTTAGAAAGAGCGAGTCTGCCCACAGAGAGCGAGATAGTGATACTTAGTTTGTGCTTCAAGTAGGTATTCGGAGTGTGGCCTCCATTTTTATCTGTAGCTTCATGGAGTAGATACAGCAAGTTGATCGTCAAAGCGTGCCATTCCGATATGTCCAAATGGACATACATGGTCGAGTGATGTTCATATAATCCGATTACAACAATCGGTTACGATGATTTTACGAGAACAGTAGTACGAACACGGTAGAAAGAAAAAAATATTTACGGATTGAGAATTGTAAAAACAACACAGCAAATAATAAAGAATAAAGTAGCAGTAGAATAATTATAAAACAAGTTAGCTCAGTGATCGCGGAAGACAGAGTGCACTGTGTGTAACATCAAAATATACAAAGTATGGAATTAGGTATGAATTACTAGTAGTATATTTAACACAATGGAATAACGATCTTTACTTTGATATACATTAAGCACAGTAAAAATATTATTTGCTAATTAAGAAAATTAATAATATAGAAACGTTTACCGCTACAAAATTATTTTAATCCACAGTCAGACTAGCTATAAATTTATCAAAATATGAGTTTTATCGGAATTAATTAATTGTCGAATCGAGTCACTCGATATCTTTCGATGATTTTGCGAATGCAGTACGATGATACGATTATTTTTACGTTGCGGCAATCACTAAAATTCGCTAAAATGACACTAACGACGTTTAAAAAGTGGCACGCTCGTCTTCATACAAATTTTTTGACAAGCTGCATCTATCCCAATCTATCCATATCTGTGAGTGTACCTGCGTCTCCATGAAGCTAAAGATAAAAATGGAGGGCAGAGTTGGAACAAAAACTTGAGTCAAATACCTACTTATATCTATCTCGCTCTCTGCGGCCCTACCTCTCTTTTTAGTGTGAACTGTAGTATTGCTATCTTCTGATTTAAATCTCCTTGTAAATTCTTCGAAATAGCCAATGAGGATCAGTACTGTTGTAGAAAATTCAATAAAACTAGTATCTACGTTAATCTTTAAGACATAAGAAAGATATATCTTTTTGAATTATCCAAATCGGACCATTACTTACGAAGATATTAAGTAATAAACATAGGCCGTTTTTGCCGCTAAAAGTCAAGGTACGCAAGGCCGCGTGACGTCATTATATCCGAATCGAGCGCAGCCGGCGTACTAATGGGATGGAAAATATTTTTTTCCGGCTAAACTATCAGTTTTAGAAAAAAACTTTTAATAACATTTATTCTTCAAAATAAAGTAACCTATCGACCAGTAATTTTGAGTAGATACAGCAAGTTGATCGTCAAAGCGTGCCATTCCGATATGTCCAAATGGACATACATGGTCGAGTGATGTTCATGTAATCCGATTACAACAATCGGTTACGATGATTTTACGAGGACAGTAGTACGAACACGGTAGAAAGAAGAAATTATTTACGGATTGAGAATTGTAATTAACAGCACAAGTAACAAATAATTAATTAGAATAAAGTAGCAGTAGAAGAAGTATAAAGTAGCATTGTTTTTAATACATATCCTGCGATGTACTCTTAAGAGTTAAAACCATGGTCCCTGTATGTGGTGCACTCATACCGATCCCAAGGAACCGTACTTACTCATAACAATAAGACACACACTGATGCATGTATTCATGCACTTGACAAATTTATGTCTTGAAACGCTGGTAGGGTAACAAAAATAACGAGATTTGACGATTTGTAAGAATCAATTTATTTTAAAAAGGTAAATAAAGATGTTTTTGGTTTTGTATTTTAACAAATTATCAGTTTTATCGAAATTAATTAATTTTCGAATCGAGTCACACGATATCATTCGATGACTTTGCAAATGCAGTACGATGATACGATTACTTTTACGTTGCGGCAATCACTAAAATTCGCTAAAATGACACTAATGACGTTTAAAAAGTGGCACGCTCGGCTTCATACAATTTTTGACACATGCTGCATCTATCCATATCTGTGGACTCGACTCTTCCTTCAATACTTTAATAGGGCCACAGAACACATAAACGATGGCTAAGAAAACAAGAATGCATTTCAGAGCAAAAACAACACCGGCCATTTTGGAGGAAAAACAAAGTTGCCATATGTTAAATAGTAATTTCTACTACTCTATTATGTAAATTATAACAAAAAATGTCACCGTTCAGTTTTAAATTAAAACAATTTAAGTTCATTTTAAAAAAAAGTTTTCACATTGTTATTAAAATATTCTCAAATACATTTTAATTAAGAAAAAAATGAAAATATTATGAAGGAAACAGGAGCAGCGACATCTAGAGCGTTTTAGGGTAGTTAAAAAGTATTTGAATTTATCCACCGATGTCGCTGTTTGCAAGTAAGTTTCACTTGGAAGACCGAAGTATGGAAGTTTCCGCACCCTGGATAGGACAGTTCAGTATTTTGGAACTATAGAATGATTTTCAGTGTAAAAAGGGTTAACACTTGTTTCGAGCGAGATCGATAAATTATTTATGGCGCAAGTACACTATGTGGTGTTCAAGTCGAAGCGCTAGCCTGCACAGTGCACACCGTAGTACGGTATGCGACGCACGCACGGGTGGGGAAAACAGAAAGTAACCGAGATGGAGTTCACGTCTTGGCCAATTTTTTTATAGTATAGCGTTACTTTGCGGAAACCCTTAATTAGTAATATAGCTGTAATAATAAAATTTTAATTCTTTTTTTTTTTGCTTAGGCACAAAATGTCTCTTAAAGAAGGACCAAATGAAAACAATCAAGATGACCAGCTAGTTACATCACATGCATTGAAGACTGGAATCTCTGGAAAAAAAAACAAAAGTTCCGATATGGCAACGGGTATGTTAATGAAATATTGTTTGCTAACTTATATATAATATTAGCATCACTTCCAAACTAATCATCCATCCTCAATTTATTAATAATAATTTTCAACTAATAAGTTAAAATTAGTATTTTAAAAATTACCAATCTACTGACTAATTAAAACCAGTTAATCAATTACAAAAACACACGGGCAAAAACCAAAGCTTTATTAGCTCTCATACTTATATCTCCAGTACGAATTATTACAGATTTATTATACGCGTTATAAACATTATGAATAACTTGAAAAAATCGAACTGCCTAAGCCCGGAATTGAACCCATGACCATCCGCTTGCCGGGCGACTGCTCTTTCAAATGAGCTACTTAGACACTGGATGAACCCGTCGAAATTTTCAAGTGTAATACGCTGTTATTTCTGTACCCCCAGTGAAAAGGGATCTAACTCGACTTAGATCAAAATTGACTTTATAACATAATGTGAATCTCTGAAAAATTAGCTATTTTTGTATCTATTCGGTATGTTTCTACGACGTATAGAAAAGAAAATAATTTTGTGCCAAATGATACAAGTAAGGCTTTGTGAACCAATTTTGAGTTTTCTTTCGTGTATATTGATACATGTCTACTTTTAACAAAGTGTACCGGAGGCTTCTTNAAAATATTGTTTGCTAACTTATAATATTAGCATCACTTCCAAACTAATTATCCATCCTCAATTTATTAATAATAATTTTCAACTAATAAGTTAAAATTAGTATTTAAAATGGTGTATATGTATATGTATATGTATATGTATATGTATATGTATATGTATATGTATATGTATATGTATATGTATATGTATATGTATATGTATATGTATATGTATATGTATATGTATATGGTGTTTCTTTGCGAGATCGAATCAGAAATGAGGAGATCCGTAAACGAACCAAAGTCGCTGACATAGCCCGACGGATTAGCAAGCTGAAGTGGCAATGGGCAGGGCACATAGTACGCAGAACTGACGGCCGATGGGGCAGAAAGGTTCTGGAATGGAGGCCGCGTACCGGAAAACGCAGCGTGGGACGTCCACCTACAAGGTGGACCGACGACATCGTAAAGGTAGCAGGGAAGCGCTGGACGCAGACCGCTGCCAATCGATCAACATGGAAAGCATTGGGGGAGGCCTATGTTCAGCAGTGGACGTCCTATGGCTGAAATGATGATGATGAGTATTTAAAAAATTACCAATCTAACTGACTAATTAAAACCAGTTAATCAATTACAAAAACACACGGGCAAAAACCAAAGCTTTATTAGCTCTCATACTTATATAAGTATGAGAGCTAATAAAGCTTTGGTTTTTGGAGATATCTCCAGTACGAATTATTACAGATTTATTATAACGCGTTATAAACATTATGAATAACTTGAAAAAATCGAACTGCCTAAGCCCGGAATTGTGGAAAACCTTGGGGGAGGCCTTTGTCCAGCAGTGGACGTCATTTGGCTGAAAAGAAAGAAAGCCCGGAATTGAACCCATGACCATCCGCTTGCCGGGCGACTGCTCTTTCAAATGAGCTACTTAGACACTGGATGAACCCGTCGAAATTTTCAAGTGTAATACGCTGTTATTTGTAATTTTCAAATAAGTTTGTTTAGCGACTCTTAACGCAAAAATTAAATAACTGCGTTATAAAATATCTTACGTAATAACGTTTGATTACAGACAATTTGGCGTCAGCTGCAGACAACTTGGGTAATCGACAACGCGATCTTAACAACAAAGTTAACGAAGCTGTAGCTCTGCAAGTTAAATTTGACATGGTTATAGATATGCCGGAGAATAATAATGTTGACAAATTATTTAAAATAGACCTAGCAGCCAAATGTAAAAATCTTGATTACATTATAGATATTCTCAAATCAGGGGACGACCTGTATACAACAAGAGCATTGAAAAAATGCAAATGGTTATTTGCCGATGAGTACTCTGACGTTATAAACTCGCAATACCTTTACGAAAACATTTTCACGGTCACCTCGATGAATATGAAGAATAAAATTTTAAAAGCTATATCCATAAACGTAAAGAATCCAGAGCGTGCAGCCCAGTTCTACAACGCTTGTATGGAGGAAAAAATGTTTTGCACAGCTTTTAACTGCCTGATTAATACATCTGAAACATTTAAACTGAAAACTCTACCGAATTTAGAAAAGAAAGAAAAATTTATATTTGAAAAAATGTTAAAATACTTCAAATTATTGATCGGGAAATCATTTGACGTTCTAAATGCTGTGATGAACTTAGATTATTATTTTGTGAAATCAATAAGACGTAAATTACTTTTTGACGTGAAAAAATTATACTACTCAGTATCACAAGAAAAATATTTAGATATTGCAGAAAAATATTGCAGAATAAGAAATGAATTTTATTTTTGTAAACAAAATCAGCTATTTGATGCGAAACTATCTAAAAGCATCATGCAAAATAATAAGGATAGAGTTCTTGCCAATCCAGTATTTTATTTCTATCGTCTTGATAGAAAAACTTTTATAAAATACAGTACGATTGATGATACTAAAGAATACAAATCACATGATTATGGGATTAGAGAAAATGATATACAAAATTCAATTTTAAATATTGTTCAAAATAATGATAATATCATTAAGTTCTTAAAAACATTCTTCACTGAGCACTACCCTAACGTAAAGCTCAAAATTAATAGAAGAGTTTACGAAATGAAAACGTACCATTTTACGCCAGGTTATGAGTACCGTTATTTTAAATTTATCCAATTTGAATTAGCTTTCCCAGAAATAAAGAAACTTGTAGACGTTACTAATGATACTGACACACGCAATGACATGGTCACTATTTTAATAGAATCAGCTAAGAATAATCGGGATTTGAAGTATCTCTTCGAATATTACAATAATTTTTACTTAAACGAGTTAAGAACTTACAAAGACAGCTTTCTGAAGGCAGTTATATCCCACCATAATGTATTTATGTTTGATGATCTTTGTTGGGCTGCCTTTTATAAAATATTGCTTAGTATGAATATCTACAACGAGAATGATACAAATGTTAAAAATAACATTGATTATGCTAATGAATCCTACAAAACTTTAATTCTACTGTACCACATATTACATGATAAACTGATTCCTGAGAATACGATGAAATATTTCCTTGAAAATTTTAATGTTTATACATTAGACAATTACACAAGAAATATTGGACATGAAAACTTTAAAAAAATACAGCATTACTTTTTCGATCATTCAAAAAATGAAGTTTTGAAAAGAGACGTTAAAAGACACTTCAATAATTTAAACAAATATTATACAAAAATTCCAACAAGATCAGGTGATCACCCAAAAGTTTCAACGATAGTGGTACAAAAAAGACTCTTAGACAGACAACTTTTGCAAGATCTGAAAAAAGACAAGATGCTTGTTCTCAGTAAAGTTGTAGAAGTAAAAAACGAATATGAGAAAGGTCCACCTAAACTCGATATTTTTTTAAAGAAAATTAAAATCTACTTTTCTGATGATATTGCAAAAGTCTATCTAGCTATGTTTGAAGACCTCATCGATGAAAACAAAAATCTGCGAACATTACATGCCGGTATACGTGGTATTTTAAAAATAGGAAACGAAAGAGTCGTACAGGAATTAATGAGCAAACATGCACCAGTAGTTGTTAAAGAATGGCGGAAGAATAAAAATAAAGATGAACTAAGTATTCAGAAGGCAATACGCCTCTATGCTAGTATTTCACGTCCCTTTGTGCCTCCTGCCATCGTGTTCAAGTATATGAAAGATAGCTCAGCGAAATATTGTCTACATTCCCTTAAAACTTATTTCGCAATCCTGCCCTCGCCGATGTGCTTAGAGTTTGTGCAATTACTTCTAGATGCTCCAATATTGATACAGAAATATACGATTCAACTGGCTTTTGATTGTTGTACTGCACAAAGTTTGACCAAAGTTATCACAGATATATGGGGCAGCACTAACAATATGTATACGAGAAGTATCATTTACGAGACAATGTTAAATAAAATAGTAGACAATGAAAATCAAACCCTCTTCGAAATGCTTTTAAAATGTACTAAAAGTTTAAAAGAAACCGATGAAAATGAACTGTTTGATATATTAGTATCCAAAAAGTTACCAGATTACTTTCTCAAAGACTATATTGAAGCTGTGTGGGAAGCAGTTAGTTCCTTCGAAGATAAAAAACCTAATGTTGAACGTAAAGAGAAAGTGATACGTCATATTCAAGAAATCCTACACGTTGTCAGGAAAAGTTTTGTAAAAAGTGTAATTGATGAACACATGAATATGATGATAACGAAGAATAACCTTAAGATAACTTATGCTCAGAATGAGTTGTCACAACTTTGTAAAGACAAATGGCAGCTTGTAGCCCGGTTTATTATGTTTAACACTCGTTCGGAAAGTTCACCAGACGAATATTGTGTGTTAATGTCTCGTGATGTTGTGACAAACAGCATAGATAAATGGGATAAAGTCATTTATGACGACTTTGTGTATCAAAGGCTACTCAATGATTTTTTCAGATATCTGGAGAATGCCAGTTTTAATCATAATCTCCAGCATTATGAAGATGCGGTTCCGATATTCGAGGATTTTCTGTCATTGGTTGAATCATCGCTACCATCTTATGCTACTTATAAATTGATATGGGATTTAAAACTGGCAATAATTAGTAGACAAGTAATAAAGAACAATAAGAGTACTTTCGAACAAACAAACAAACCGAGTGATTATCATAGTGGGATAATTAATACTTTTATCGAGTTTAGTCGAGAATTGGGAAAAGCAATTTCCATGTACATGAATAAGCAATCATACTTTATTTCATTTTCGGAAAATTTAAAGGAAATGATAGAAAATAATGTACAACACGTTATACGTGTCCTTAATCACTATTTGAAGATTTCGTATAATTTGCATTTTTATGGTCAGAATTCAATAAAAATAGAACATTATATTGACGATATCAAAATATCACTTGCGACTGGTTTGACGGAATTGGAATTTCCCGAAACTTTCTTGATGGCAGTACTGTTGTTACCCCCAGAAAGTCCAAAAGACAGCTTCATGTTTGTCATCAATAAACTTCATAAATGTCCCTATCCAGAAGTACTATTTGCGTTACATTCAAGGTTTCAAAAATTTTGCAACATCTTAAGGGGCGATAACAAAGCCGATAACACAGATGAACAATGTTATTTGTTAGGTCCTGATTTTTTTAATTAAAGGTCATACAAACTTAATTACATCGAACATTTTCTGAAACTGTCGATAGATGGCACTGACTGTGATTAGATCGCGATATAGTACGACCATTTTTACTCTTGTTAAAATGCAATAGTAGGTATTGTTTTGTTGCTTAGATTAATAAAACCTTTTTTTAATCCTTGTTTTAATTAATTAAACCTTGTTTTATTAATCTAAGTTTTGTTGTCGTAAATATTATAGAACTAAAATATTGCCTTATACAACGTAAAATAAAAATCACCTAGGCTTGTATGTAATACTAACTACGATAGTCGAACGGTGAAGGGGTCGGTCGGACTGGCCAACTCGACTCAACATCGATGAACGCTGATTCGAACCCCGCTGTCGTACTTACCTCAGTCTGGCTCTCGATTTTCGTGGTAGGTACTCGTGCATGCGTGTACTAGGTGCTGAACCTATTCCTTATATAAGATTAATTTTTTAGCTTAGTACCTCGTACTGCTAACGGGACTTTTAGTAATTTGTTTGTGCAACCCATTATTACTAAAATTCTTTAAAGCCTTGTAAATTAGGTGATTAGGTACTGTTGTAAACACAAAACTACGTTTTGTATGTTTTGTTGCTATTTGTTATGCAGTGTGTATTTATGTAATTATATTCATTAAGATTATATTATAACTATAACAATATAATTATTATTATGTACCTACCTATTTATATGCAATAAATTAATAATCTGTGTTATTTTGGTGTTTTATACAGGTTGTCCCAAAAAGAGCCTTTAATATGGAGATGATAGTCTAATGCAAGGCTTCTCAACCTTACTATATTTTTTATTTTTTGGAACCTCATAATCACTTACTTTATTATACGGGCAACTTTGGGCGCGCACTGAGAAAGCAGGATTATAGTCAGTAAGCCAAAGAATAAGGTTCAAGTAGCTTTAAAGCAGTATCTGTCAAGACAGTCGAAATCAAAATAACGTATCCTATCAATAGGTTTTTTTAAAATAGAAATTGTGAAAAAAAACCACTGATTTTATTAGTTTTAATTTTATTAAAATTTGTTATTATTACTAATTCAAAGTTAATTACATTAAACGTGTAGAATCTTTATAAATATTTTACTTAAACCTTTAAAAATATTAAAAAAAAAGTCACTTACAAACTTTTTTCATTTTTCGGAATCTCATTGTCTTTTGAACGGGCAACTTTAGGCGCGCGCTGATAGAGTAGGATTACAATTATTAGTTAACAAGCCATAGAACAAGGCTCTTGTATTATCAGAGCCCCGATTACGGTAACTTTTAACGTCTACAATCCAGACACGCTTCATCGATTCTGCGATACGATTGGTCGTTCAACAGCGTACGTCAGCTGTTTTGACCAATCGTATCGCAGAATCGATGAAGCGCGTCTGGATTGGAACGTTAAAAGTTACCGTAATCGGGGCTCAGTAATAAGTAGTTTTAAAACAAGATCTGTCACGACTTAGTCGAAATCAACCACTTTGTTTCATTCCAAACAATGAAAATGAAAAATATTTTTTTCCAGTCAAAGTATCACTTTTAGAGAAAAACTTTTGATGACATTTGTTTTATTCATCAGAATGACGTAACCTATTTATGAGTAACTTTTAATAATAGAAATTGTGAAAAAAATCGCTATATCCTTAAATCGCATTTTCGATCCATAGTGCGCACTGCGACTTGTCAATGGTGTGAACACTAACTCGGTCGGTTACTTTCTCCTCTCTCCTCGAGTACGTCGCCCCTGTCTCATCTGTGTACGTCGCCGCCCATACTTCATACTTCGCTATACGGGCGCGCGGGCTAGCGCCTTCGAGTGTACCCACAGATATGGATTACTTTTCTCTATGGATATGGATTAGAGTAGATACAGCAAGTTGATCGTCAAAGCGTGCCATTCCGATATATTATGTCCAAATGGACATACATGGTCGAGTGATGTTCATATAATTCGATTACAACAATCGGTTACGATGATTTTACGAGAACAGTAGTACGAACACGGTAGAAAGAAAAAAATATTTACGGATTGAGAATTGTAAAAACAACACAGCAAATAATAAAGAATAAAGTAGCAGTAGAATAATTATAAAACAAGTTAGCTCAGTGATCGCGGAAGACAGAGTGCACTGTGTAACATCAAAATATACAAAGTATGGAATTAGGTATGAATTACTAGTAGTATATGTCGGCGCCGGACACAGATGCTGCAAATTATTATTGATGAATAATAGTACCAATCTTAATATTATGTTATCTGTATAAATCTGTAGAGCGGAAGGTTTGTGATTCCTAAACGTAACACCCGACTGATGCGCAGAAAAAGACAACTGTCAATCAGTTGTGTCATTTCAAGTGTGAGCAAGCGGCTACGAGGTTATCTTTGAAAGCGTATTGAGTTTGGTGGAACGTTAAATTGTAGGAAAAGTGATTGTCAACCATCCAAGATATTATCTCCTTGCCCGTTAACCCACGCCAATGGAGATTCCACCCCTAGAGTTCCTTCTGATAGAGACCCAGTGCCTTTATCAGAAGTGGGATTCGAAGGGCACTATTCAAAGGAGATAAATCTTTCAGCATGCACACCTACGCTACGCAACTCATCAAGTTTTACATGGAGGATGCTGACTCAGACGTTGAGAGTTGGTGCAGGTTGACGGAAACTATTGTGATTGACGTAAACTAGAAGGGCCTTTGTGAGTGAGTGAGTTGAGGGGGCCGGGCCAAGGGCGCCCGGGCCGCCCTGTTGCCGTGGTTGAAGGGGCTGTTTACGCCCGGGCCACGCTGGTGTAATGTTGGTTTCCTGGTCGCACGGCTGCATGCCTGGATCAGCAGTAGTAGTGGTGCGGTTTGAGGTAAATGGTTGAAGGAGCCTTGGCTTAAGCCTTGCGCATCGGGCCATGTTACCTAAACCCTGGTTTCCTGGTCGCATGGCTGCATGCCTGGATCAGCAGTAGTAGTGGTGCGGTTTGAGGTAAATGGTTGAAGGAGCCTTGGCTTAAGCCTTGCGCGTCGGGCCATGTTACCTAAACCCCGGTTTCCTGGTCGAAGGGGCCTCACGCCCGGGCCAGCTGTAATGTTTTGGTTTCCTGGTCGGGCTTCGCGCCCGGGCCAGCTGTAATGGTTTGGTTTCCTGATCGAGGGTCATCACGCCCTGATCAGCTGTATTTATTGTGATGCTACGATCTGATATTCGCACGCTCTGTAGTCAGGAATGGACGAGCTGTGATAATGAGAAATTGAATGTTTACAGATGGACAAACCCTGGACTAAGCGCACGAGGCCGTGCGATAGTCAGGCTGGCCGTGTCGGCGCCGGACACAGATGCTGCAAATTATTATTGATGATTAATAGTACCAATCTTAATATTATGTTATCTGTATAAATGTGTAGAGCGGAAGGTTTGTGATTCCTAAACGTAACACCCGACTGATGCGCAGAAAAAGATAACTGTCAATCAGTTGTGTCATGTCAAGTGTGAGCAAGCGGCTACGAGGTTATCTTTGAAAGCGTATTGAGTTTGGTGGAACGTTAAATTGTAGGAAAAGTGATTGTCAACCATCCAAGATATTATCTCCTTGCCCGTTAACCCACGCCAATGGAGATTCCACCCCTAGAGTTCCTTCTGATAGAGACCCAGTGCCTTTATATATTTAACACAATGGAATAACGATCTTTACTTTGATATACATTAAGCACAGTAAAAATATTATTTGCTAATTAATAAGAAAATTAATAATATAGAAACGTTTACCGCTACAAAATTATTTCAATCCACAGTCAGACTAGCTATAAATTTAACAAAATATCAGTTTTATCGGAATTAATTAATTTTCGATTCGAGTCACACGATATCTTTCGATGACTTTTCGAATGCAGTACGATGATACGATTACTTTTACGTTGCGGCAATCACTAAAATTCGCTAAAATGACACTAATGACGTTTAAAAAGTGGCACGCTCGGCTTCATACAATTTTTGACACATGCTGCATCTATCCATATCTGTGATCTATCCATATCTGTGAGTGTACCTGCGTCTCGAAGATTTTTAATTTTAATTATTTTGACATTTTTGACGTTTAAACGGTAAAATATAGCTGTCAGTCATGTTTTTTGCATTAATTTTCAGAAAACTTATCTAACTAAAATCTTTGAGTTTGTAAGGATTTCTTTACATATTTCTTTTTAATTACTTATTATAAATTACAGTAATATTATTAAACATTGTAAATGGACTTATCCATCAAAGCTTTTGGTACTATTGGTCGATTTTGGAGGACCCATGTGTAAGATGCAAAAACATTGGCAATAAAAGTTTTCTCAATTTTATTAGAAAGATATAGTATTTTTTTATAGTTTTACCCAACCTGATTCCGCCACCCGATTGAAACTGCTATTTTGTTTGTTTTTTTAGTTTGCCGAGAGCATGGTTAGCTAGTGTTTAACATTGCGTAATTCCTTGATTAATTTGCCACTGAGATGCGTATTCCTAGAGCATTAAATCCACGACTAAAAAAACGAATATGGTAAGGACCCACTTATGTATTTTAACACATTTTTGTTCTTTTTATGTCATGCATTGTACATATAGCTATTTTATAGTACATGCTAAAATACTAATATGATGCTTCATACACATTTATAGGAGAAAGTTTGGAATATATGAAATTGTAGTTCCAGAAGAAACTACACCCAGTAGAACTGTTCCTGATAGTATAGAATTTCCTGACTATATATCAGGAAAACTTTTGATTATACCTAAATCACCTGAAGTTAAAGATGCAGAACAGCTTGAGGGAATGCACCAAAGTTGCAAAATAGCGTCAAGTATTCTTCACAAAATGCAAACATTTATAAAGGTTTGTAACATTAATTTTATGTACATTATGATATAATGCTGTAGTAACAACTTTGTCGAACTGGCGAACTTCATACTGCCTATTTTCATCAACATATAATCACAGAATAATAATAAGTACTATGTACAGAAGTTTTACTTTGCGAAGGTATTTAAAAAAATGTATGCTCAATGTCATTAACAATATGGTGTAATTTAGCTTGTCGCAAGAGTCAAGCACCATTTTGTTGACAAACGTCAGTGATCGGTACTGCGCCGAATCTATAGGGCTGACTTCGGTAAAATGATGTGACGTGAGGTGCCAAACTGCGGAAAATGGCGGAGGAAATACATGTTTTAGCATGAATTATCATGAATAATAGTTCAGAACTTGGTCTCGGGATAAAGCCACCAGTCTCCCGCAAGCGTCTTAAAACTTTCGAAACCCAGGACTGGCTTATGTGGAGCTGACGTGCGACAGCCCGCTGGCTGAGCCCTTCTTGCAATAGTGCAACGATTTGTGCTGCTTCTGAAGGTGTAGAATCCCAGTTAAAGTGTCAAAAGAAGCCGAGATGTGTATGGATCAACGTGTGAACGCAAAAATCCGAAAACACGTGCTTTTATAGGGGGTAAATAGGCCGCAACTCGCGACGTATCAAACAGTTGATACATGTCTTTTTTCTTACTTCTTCACATCAGCCGGGATATCTTTTTAAATAGCGGTGTGATTTAAATCAATTTGGTATCAATTTAAAGTTAAAAGTTTAATCTTTAAAATGGTGACTACTTTTTTTGTTACTAACAAATTTGTTAGTACACAAGATCGCGTGGAAACAACTTCATGTAAGTGATTCCATACTTTTGCTCGCGAGTGTATTAACTACTTATTTACCTCTCAGTGTCTTGAGGCAACTTAAAAAAGTACATTCTGTGTTTTTATTATTATTTAGGCAGTTAAATACTGCACAGTATTTAGTACACCATTTTCTTTATTTTCTTCCATCATACACAAGAATACGCGTGCGTGAGTCTATGTTCGCTCGTATGTGAGGCCTTGTCGAATAGTATCCTGTAGGTGGGCCATCGTGCGTGTTTTGTTTTCGATGTAAACTCGCGGAGATGAACTGGCCTGATATAATGTAGTATTCTAATGGTGAATATTATAAATATTTCACATTCCCTTTGGTTTTCAGCCAGGGATAACTACAGACAAAATTGATGAATTGGTCCATAGATTATCAATAGAGGCTGGCGCCTACCCATCCCCCTTACATTACAAGGGCTTTCCAAAGAGTGTTTGCACGTCTGTAAACAATGTAGCTGTGCACGGCATACCAGATCTAAGGGCTCTACAGGATGGTGATATAGCAAATGTGGATATAACTGTAAGTTATTATAATTTCTCTTATTTACAATTTTTATTACAGTTGTTACAGTCGTAAAAAGTAAAAACACGTCTATCATTGATTTATACTTATACGTTTCAATTACAGGTATATTATAAAGGATATCATGGAGATTGTTCAAAAACATTTCCTGTTGGCAATGTGGATGATAGAGGTTTGCAGCTTATTGGGGTTACTGAAGAATGTTTACAACATGTAATTATTAATTAAACCCTATTAATCAACAGCTCAGCAGTGGACATCCTATGGCTGAAATGATGATGATGATGAATCAACAGCTCAACACTGTTGTTGTAGATTCTGATGTGCTAGCAACTGTAAAATGCTGTAGAATGTATTCTTAGTTGTAAAAATCGTAATAGCTTCTAGTACTGTATAAGGGGCGCCTTTAAATTACGCCACTGCACACAGAACATGTAGCCACTGCAAAAGAAAACTCCCTAAAAAAAGTCCGACGTGATCACGCGACTCATTATTTAGAAATGTTATATTGAAAAATATTGAAAATATAAAAAACTTTTGAAAAAGTTTTTTATATTATTATCTAAAAAATGATAGAGGATGCATGTTGCAATGTAGGTACTCAACATCTTTCTTAATTTTGCAATTGTGTTTTTTCAGGCTATCAAACACTGCGGACCAGATGTGCCTTTTAGAGAAATTGGAGCAAGAATATACAGGCACGCCAAAAGAAACGGTCTTACAGTATTGCCAGCATTTGTTGGTCATGGTATTGGGAAGTACTTTCATGGGCCACCAGAAATTCATCATTCAAGTAAGTTACTTACTTTGGACACAGGTTTTTGGTGTAGTAATAGAACCTGTGGCATCTCAGTGTTAGCTTATCATAATACTTTTGGAGCAAATATGAAGTATTTTAGCATAATCCCAGTTCCAAGGTTCCAATCCTTGCTTGCTCAGTTAAGTAAGTCAATTATATAGGATTGTTTGCTATACCTAATACTGCCGTCTATAAGCTAAAAGGCCGCTAAATGACATTTGGTCATTTTTCACTTTTTTAATGTAACGGTAATAAAAAAAGATTCTCTATCGATCTGTCTAGGAACGGTTATTCTATCTTTTACCGTTCTCAAGATATTTATATTCAAAAGGCAGCTAAATACAAAAAACAAAAACCTTACATCGTTTAAAGGTCGTTAAACGGCACAACAAGATTAGAAGGCAGCTATACTACTTTAACGTTTGGATCGATTGAACATTTTTACTATCAATGCTTAGCTATAAAACAGTTAATTTTCAACAGTTAACTAAAAGGTAGCAAAAGTATTTTTGCGGCTTTTTAGCTTGGTTACGTCGGAGTATAATACCTGGCATATACTTAACTAAAAGGCGGTTATACGCTCTTACCGAACTAAAAAGCAGTTAAAATAATTTTGCGGCCTTTAAACGTTGTAGTGTTACTACTTTTACAATTAATATACTATTATAGAAAGCCTTATTAGACCGTACGTAAATATTTTCCTCTGTGTCTTGCATAACAAAAAAGCCGTTAAATAACAAAACATCACTAAAAAGNGATTCCATACTTTTGCTCGCGAGTGTATTAACTACTTATTTACCTCTCAGTGTCTTGAGGCAACTTAAAAAAGTACATTCTGTGTTTTTATTATTATTTAGGCAGTTAAATACTGCACAGTATTTAGTACACCATTTTCTTTATTTTCTTCCATCATACACAAGAATACGCGTGCGTGAGTCTATGTTCGCTCGTATGTGAGGCCTTGTCGAATAGTATCCTGTAGGTGGGCCATCGTGCGTGTTTTGTTTTCGATNTATCTAAAAAATGATAGAGGATGCATGTTGCAATGTAGGTACTCAACATCTTTCTTAATTTTGCAATTATGTGTTTTTTTAGGCTATCAAACACTGCGGACCAGATGTGCCTTTTAGAGAAATTGGAGCAAGAATATACAGGCACGCCAAAAGAAACGGTCTTACAGTATTGCCAGCATTTGTTGGTCATGGTATTGGGAAGTACTTTCATGGGCCACCAGAAATTCATCATTCAAGTAAGTTACTTACTTTGGACACAGGTTTTTGGTGTAAGTAGTAATAGAACCTGTGGCATCTCAGTGTTAGCTTATCATAATACTTTTGGAGCAAATATGAAGTATTTTAGCATAATCCCAGTTCCAAGGTTCCAATCCTTGCTTGCCCAGTTACATAAGTCAATAGGGTATTTGACACCACCAATCAATTGACGTACTTTTTAAAACTGTCAAAACGAGACTCTCTCATAGATTTTGTATGACAATACTAGCATGTGACGTCACAATTTTGTCAACTCAATGAAACTACTTTTATGAATTACAATGCAACCAAAAATCTTAATTTACAGGTAATTAAAAATTAATCAAATTTTTAAGACCAGAAAGAAGTGTCTTTTTAAAAAAGTTGTGCTTTAGAGTTATTGGGGAATGGTGTCAAATACCCAATTATATAGGATTGTTTGCTATACCTAATAGAAAACACCGTCATGTCATTCACGAAGGTTTTTTTTTACAGAAAATCGTTATCCTGGACTGATGAAACCAGGAATGACGTTTACGATAGAGCCTGCTTTGTCGCATGGCTCCGAAAACACTGTGATACTAGAAGATGGTTGGACCGTCATAACCGAAGACGGATCTCGTGCTGCTCAAGCTGAACACACGATTCTTATCACTGAGCATGGAGCTGAAATCCTTACGTAAAATATTTTGAGGCAGAAACAACAAATGGGCAATCAAAGTCGTAATATTTGTTTTCGCGCTTTGAATTGCGTAGATTATACATAAATGCAATCCCATGAGGCAGTAGAATGTCCATTAATTAGCACACCCATATTTTTGTTTGTGCTGGTTAATGGAAAAAAACGCTCGTTGTTTGTATCGTTTACTTGATTTGTGAGTTTATCTTCCTAATGGATTTGTTGTTGAATTTGGTTGAAATAAAAGTACAAACATTAGCGTGTGGTGTTTTATTTATAGCTTGATAAACCTTAAATAAAAACATGTAACTTGGTACATTAAAAGCACAAGCCCAAATATTTATCACTTATAGTTGTCAGTCAATAGATAATTTTAAAGGCGTAGAGAATCTGTTACACATGTGGGTAATCATAAAAGGACGAAGGCGTAACCAGTGGGACATCGACGACCCCCGGCAATCAATAGGTACACTACACAATCAAATGGGTTCTACCACATCCATTCGCAATAGTTTGGTCCCATAAGTTTCCAGCTACGCCTTGGACAAGGTGCTACAAGGGTGTTAAACAACCTTAAAATATTATGTAAGACTAGATCTTAGATCTGTAACGAATAAAATTACTTATTAAATAGTTTCAACAGCAACAAATATTTAATTATAACAAAGCAATATTATAGGTTGAGACTTGAGATCTGTTTATTAGACTGAACCTAAAATATTTTATTGACTAGTAATTCCATCAGGGACATGTTAAAAGTAAGTAGAACACAATCGAGAACACAGACAATAAATGCATGTTCTTGTAAAAAAATATAACATTTACTTAAATGCTCTTAAATGGCTTAGAAAAATGTTACATCATACATAATATTATTTATTTGTGCTATATTATTAAAAGCTATTATTCCTTATCTATTAGGTAATTGGATTTAGTTAAGTAGGGTATTATCGGTAAGATAGGTAGAATAAAAAGTTTAACTTATTTATTTTTATAAAATACCTAAAAGGTAACTAATTTTATAATATAGGCATTATTTTAATAATTTATAATGTAATTATGAGCAATATATTGGCAAATAACTTTTCACAACAACAATTAAAAAGGAGTAGAGCAAGGGAATATTGTTTTAACTCCATAACCAGTATAGAGAAAATATTTTTAATTTGTTTTAAACTTTATATCATTTACATAAAGTTCAAAATACCACCAGTATACTGCATCACACAACAATGATATAATTATTGGGGCCTTCATAAAACTACACTTCATAGAACCATAAGCGCACTTGCCCAAAATAGTTCTTATTTTAATTTTTTCTTAATAATAATAAACTCTTAAATAGGATATTACATAATTAAAAGTTATGGACAGGGGTTAAGATAGTACGCTATAATAAAAATTTAAAGGGTTATGCCATTGAATTTTTCAAAATTACTTATTTATAATCTTTTAGATAGGTTAATGTTGTATAACTTGCTAATGGTGCTAGGGAAGGTTAAAAAGAGTGTATAAAAGTTGATACAAAATTATTAAATAGATTTAACAATATACAAAAGCTACTCGCGACCATTATACACTACAATACAATAAAGTTACTTAAATGTTAATATATCACTCAAGGTAACATACAGTGTGAGTCACGTTAAAGTGTACATATGAAAATAGATGAAACTAGACCTATTTTTATCGACAAAAAAGAGGTCAAAAATTTTTTGAGATTTTTTTTTAATTTTTTATAGAATATTTTTTCTTCCAATTACTTATTGTAAAGAAAACATAATAACTTTTAAACTAAGCGGTATATCTTGATAAAATAAAAACAGTAATAATTCTAAATAACAGGCAATATTAAAAAAATACATAAAATACANTCAAAATACTCATGACTTATCATAAAAAGTAAAGTGTAAGCACTAGCCTCTCATTTAGACTGTCTAATGATTTGAATTTTCACTATCTAATCATGGCATTAGCTAATTGAAGGGAATAGAAATAACTATTATGATATAAAGTTATCAATGTCATATAATAAAATCTAAAACGAGAAGAGAAAACATTTATTATTGCGCATTTCGTTACAAGGATACACACCTTAAAATATGCATTAAAATTAAGTGTGGTCTTCCTTATACAGAAATAGCTCAATAACTTTGTGAAAGATTGAATTAATTTTTGTGCAAAAATCTTATAATCAAAATGTGTTCATGTGGATAGGATAGAATAATCACTGTGCTCCAAGTATGGTTAATAACATTTCAGACAACTCCTAGTGATTCACAATTTTGTATGTGAATTCACTGAGAAAACAACTCTTTGCACTTTTACATGTCAAGTTTTTAAATAGTACTATTTCAGTAACTTGTTATTAATCAATCTTATTTAGAACAGGAGTTCTGTCCTGTTCCTGTATCACATAAATAAAATTATTATACAAAAAACAAAAGATTATTAAAACATAATCAAACGAAATCATAAACCAAATAGGGTCATGAAAATGATAACATTTCACTATCTAAGATCATCTTTTAACTACTTGTTAATCTTGTAGAACCGTTGAACAAAATCAGTCAAGTTGAAAACTTGTCCTGGACCAGTGCCAATATCCATGTTGATGTATTCATCTAGATTGTGTGTTGAAGCTGCAATGAAATTAATACGAATTTATTTAAGTAAGATTACACTGGTACAAGGAATAAGAGAAATATGTTTTTTACTATTAACAGGAATGTGTCTCATTTAATGCCATAATAATTTTCAACTTTAACCTTATCAACTTATCAGGGTCACAAATCAATATAAATAAAAAATATATCAATATATTGTGCAGCTTAGAGGGTTAAGATAAACAAAATGTTCTTACTTGTTGTACAAATGGCCGGGTATGGCGGAGGTGGTTTGATCCATGATCCATCTGGTCTTTTCATGTGCCGACGATCAGAAGCAAAATTCTGCAAAAATTGCTTTGCAGGCACTACACGAAAGAATCTACAAAATAAACAAAAAGAAATTATTTAAGTAAGTTAAAAATTAAATTACCTATCTAATTAATTGAATGTTTCTCACCTGTGGAAATCAGATTTTAAAACTTGATCTGTACGAAATGTTTCTGTGACATACTTATGGAAGAAAGTCGGAAAAGGCAACTCTGAATCCAGATCATACACAAGGCAAGTTTTGCAGTCCCATGAGTATAAAAATATTACATGGTAATCCTGAAAAACAAATTAGGTCAATGTAAAAACATCATATTCATTCAAGGACTAACCCTGTCAAAATTGTAATGCTGTATAACGACGTATAGGGCAGATTATGTAGGTATAGCGTGACACAGTTTCGCTAGGTACACACCCATATAACAAGGCGGTCTTCCTCGCGCCCAGCCCTTTGTTTCCACAGAGGCACAGTACGGCAAGGGTTGGAAATGAAAACCACATAGCACCTATCCAATTCCTCCGGGACCCTCAGAGACGCATCTTGACATAGTTTCCAGACGTTTTCCTCGCTGTAAAGAACAATGCACAAAACAAAGCAATAAAATTTAAACTCGCGTTTGGTACCTTGCAATGTGAAATGGGAAGTTACATTTGCAACTTACCAATAACAAGACACGTGTGAACATTCTTCCCTTTTAGGAAATAAGGGTTTCATTGATTTGTCGTTCTTTTTATTATTTTCATTAGTGGTACTCAAATGAATTTGTGCATTGACCGACATATTGACAATGACAGTTTGTTTTGTGGTTTGTACCACAGATTACAGAGAGTGGTTTGTGCTGGAAATTTGACAACCATGGCTTCATGAATCTTATGGCGCGCGGCGACTTAGCGCTAGGACTTGAACTTGCGCTCAGAGCCCCGATTACGGTAACTTTTAACGTTTCCAATCCAGACGCGTTTCTGATTCTGCAATACGATTGGTCAAAACAGCTGACGTACGCTGTTGAACGACCAATCGTATCGCAGAATCGAGAAGCGTGTCTGGATTGGAAACGTTAAAAGTTACCGTAATCGGGGCTCTGGCGGTGTAGTTTTCATTGGTTAAATTTTTGTTTGTTCTTCTTGGTTAGCTATTATTTTTTTGGGTACCATCGAACACTAGTGGCATTTATTAAGCAAGAACAACTTTCTATGAAACAACTAGTACCTAACTAGTGGAACATACCGATTGTATACTCTTTGGCAACTAGTTAATTTATTTATCTGTGATATTTTTGACAGATGACATCACATCCTCGTTTTTCCGCCATCTTTGGTTGGTTGTATTGGCATCATTTTGTTTGTGGTTGTGTGGCCAGCTGGCTAGTGGCTTTTACTCAGAGCCAGCTATTCTTTTAGTTGTCTTCAAAGTTTCTTTCATATTGATAAAAAGCAGGGCGGTGCGTTGTCCTAGGTTTCGACCGGACTAGCGTATCGTCCGGACTTTTTATTGTAAGAAAGAAGACTCAAGTTTCTTGATTATAGAAGAATTCGTTCCAAGATGACTCGTGAGTAACCTAATAATTCATTGTAGGTACTTACTTAACTTTTATGAGTTTATTAATTATATTTTAAAGAAGATCATTGTTCCCTTCTTATGTTTGCATGTAAACGTGTATAATATCCACGTTTTAGAAGGTTCTAGATTGCCTAACAACCGTATGACAACATCACGAATGAATTCGATAGTGACGCTGTAATTTTATTATGAAAATTAGATATTTCCGCTTGTCGAAGTAAATCACTGTATATGCGAATACCGTACAAATTGATTATAAACTTTATTCAAGTTATGGTGATTATTTTTTTCTACCCTCTTCATTGACCTATTATTTCAGGCGGTAACCAGAGAGATTTGGCTCGCGCTAAAAACCAGAAAAAGCAGCAGGAAATGCAGAAAAAGAAGAATGCCAGTGAGAAGACTGGTATGTCTCTTCAAGAGCGGAAACATAGGTAAAAATGATTAGCATTTTCAATGTCCTATTTTTGTAATCTTGAAAGATTAAACCAAATCAAACCAGATGATCATTCATTACTATTAACATAAAATACCAGGGCTGATTCTGCATTGATGATGGATGAGCCAAATGCGCTTATAAAAAAGCCTGTTTGGGGCTATTGTCTGTTGTATATTGACATGTAACAACACCAAAAGCATTTAGGCATCACTAGCGGCCGCCCGCGACTTCGTACGCGTGAATCCCGTTTTTCCCGCTAATTCCCGTTCCCGTGGGAATTCCGGAAATTCCTTTCTTAGTGCACCTCTACGGTACCTAAGCTATGTCCCTTCCAAATTTCAAGTGCCTACGTTTAGCCGTTTAGGCTGTGCGTTGATCTGTCAGTCAGTCAGTCAGTTTCTCCTTTTATATATTTAGATTTAAGCCATTTTAAAAACAAATTTTCATTATGTTATGATTTGTAAATAAATATATTAGTCATACTTACCTACCAATCTAAAATTTACTTTATTGATAACTTGTGAAACATGTAGTTAATTTTTATACCGCTCATTTCAGAGATGCTGAACTAATGAGAGAAAAACAACGAAGAAAGGAGGAGCAAGGTGAAAACCAAAAACAAGCTGTAAATTAAATGGTCATTATAAAAAAAACTTGACTGCTCCATATTATGAACACTTAACTTTTGAGCTTTTTTGCTGAGAGCTGAAATTGTTCATGTGATACATAAGCAATCATTTAATTTACATTTACATGTTTATACAGAATTTGAGTTTGAATTAAAGCCTAATTGAATTATATAATTATCCAATAACAAGTTGTGGTTTTCTTTGTTGATGTTGTAATATAACAATGTATGTATAACACAGCCTTGCCACTTATTTAAAGGGTTGATCTGAATAGTTGCAATTAATATTATAATTAAAATAAATAGGAATTGTCACAATATCTTAGCATTTATGCAAGTCTATGTTAATTTGACTGAATAGGTTTGTATGTATAATACCAATTGCCCATTTTTTGTACAATAAAGTATAAAGTACAAAACTTGGATGTTTTATTTTTGCTAAGGTTTCATAGTGATGTAAACTATACATTTTTTGTCAGTCATCTAGACTCGTTAATTAATTAGCGACTTATCTAGCGTTTCTCCTACCTTCAACAGTACAATGTGCACACAGTGCAACATAAAGGGATCATCTACTTGAACAGCATAAAACATATCATGTAACTAACAATTTTTCTCCTTACATCTTCACATACTTGGTGCACCTACCCGGTAGAAGGTAGGTTGATAACTTTCTCGCCTAACATACAAAACGACGCGACGTGTTTTTTTATAACATTACTTACTCATGGCCAGTGTGTTTAGGGACGATTTATGGAATCTGTATAAAAAATATCTAAGTAAAAGAGTTATTAAGACCAAACCTGACGAGAACTAAGTAGGTAAGTTGCTAGAAACCAAATTCTCGTAACACAAGCATAACGTGAATCATCGATTAATATCGTCAATCATACATGCTTAGTAATCGTCTTTCGAATACCAGCCATAAGTATAAGTAAGGTACTTGATACAAATAAGGCCTACGTTCTAATAAGGCCTATACATCAGAAAACACAGATAAATAAATCCAACCGGGATAATACTTCAAGGACACGTACTCATGTGCCCTACAACCCGGTAGAGTGCAAGAGTGTCACGATCCACGATCCCAGCACCAATTGGCACGCGTTCTTCTAAGGTGGTGGGTGATTTCGTGCTCTCTTATAAAAATCTGGCGATTTCATCTTAAATTTTCGGTAAAATTACGCTGTTTTAGATTAAGCTTTTCTTACTAATCGTTTCTAAATATTTCGTACAAGCTAATAATTACCTTATTTTGTAATACTGGCTATAGATGCATTATTAGTAAATTTTTAAAGACAACAAGAGCAAGATATCTAATAAGGCCTAGGCCTTATTTCAGCATGGTAGGCCATATTAGATACTTATGTCAACACCTGATACGGACAAATTCATTAAACTAAATGAGTCAAAGTGTAACGAAATATTTATCTAATAAGAATGTTACTAACAGCACAGAAAATAAAAAGAAAACAGAGTCGAAAAAAATTACAAAACCTGTAAAAAAAGGAAACAAAATACAAAACCAATAAAAAAATAAGAAAAAAAAGCCGAATGTATAATTCTAAAGGAAAGGAGAATAAAAGCTGGTATTATCATGCCTGTCTCGAAGAAAATGTAGCAGATATGCGAACATAAATGACTGCTTTTGGTGGTATCACAAAGATTGTGTAGGAGTTGGTAAAGATGATTCAGAAGCCTTTTTATGCCCTGGTTCTAACAAAAATTGAGATCTCATTTTGTTTACAAAAATTCAAGACTAAAATGATGTTCCCAAACTGATTTATTTAAAAGGTTTTATGTGTAGGCCTTATTCGAACACGGTGTTTTAATAAGCCCTATGCAAAAAAATAATATTGTTTGTTTTTGATATATTTTTTTATAATTTAAGTAAGGAATCATTTNTTTTTTTTAGTATCGCCTGTTGTTTAGCAATATTAATGTTTTTATTTTATCAGGATATACCGCTTAGTTTAAAAGTTATTACGTTTTCTTTACAATAAGTAATTTGAAGAAAAAAAATTCTATAAAATATTAAAAAAAAATCTCAAAAATTTTTTGACCTCTTTTTTGTCGATAAAAATGGGTCTAGTTTCATCTATTTTCATATGTACACTTTAACGTGACTCACACTGTATAAATAGTGAACAAAAATCTATAAATATACATACAAATTACTACATGTTTATCCACATAACATACATATTACTTTATTTGTAACAAGGATAATAAATAAAATTAGGGATATTCAAAATANATTGCCGGTAGTTGGTCAGGTCAGTCGTCAGGAGTTACTTACCTACTCCAAACTGGACAAGTACTGATTGTAGGCCAAGAAATCCAAGAATTATATTCCGGACGTGAATATGTTGCTATCAAAAGGGCCGAGATAGTAATGATTTTGAATTTGACTCGTAATAACTATTCCCCAAAATAATTTTACAGACAGAACGACCGCCGCCTACTGTTTCACAGCCAGGCATGATATAGCAGCGTGAAATTGCCGTCATCATAACGTGCGGGGCCAGGTAGGTGCTCCCAAAAGTTTTATCCGAAGTTTTGAAAGCAACATTATGTAAGTATCCAATTCCTGAAGGTAGGTAAGGTATGATTCCTATCACCCAAAGCGAGATTTCAGCATAAGCGACTGTGACAGATTTATTGCCTGAAGAAAGGCAGCGTAAGTGGGCGTTAAACGCCATGAGCAATGCGTAGTAACATCTGAAATACTTCATCCTCAATTCTACGATTGTTTCGCTTTACCGATCAAGTCAACACCCACGTTCGAAATTAGCCCGGCACTAAGTATGTACAGATTGTTTTTATCGGTCAATAGTTTAGTCGGCTTCTCAGCTCATTTGTATCAGGAATTGACCTTATCAAATCGATGTAATGTGCGCACTTACATACATGTTCAGTTCATACTAATTGCCCGACTAAACTATCGGCCAATAAAAAGTAGGTACGGTAACACTAAATAATTTTCCGTCCTTTCGCGCTGAGCGAAGAGGCCATCCGTCATTCTGACGTCAGAATGGCTGGTTTAATCAAATATTTTATTCATGTCACCTTAATCATACGTAGCTTTATTATTAACGAAAAGTATCAAGCAAATATAAAAAATATGAATCATTTTTGAATATACTTTCAGAGTTATTCGCGGCGAGCGGCAAAACTCAGCCATTTTAATGCTAACGATTTATGGAAGTTTTAAAAATTGAAAGAAAAGCTTTAGAATCACTTTTTTATATAAAAGGTCTAATTTACATTTTGCACGATACAATCAACAAAAATAACATTAAATTATTGCTAAATACAGGAATCTTTGTTGTGTAACAACAGACTTGACATAAAAACAATATTGTACTGACATAAATCATTATATAAAATTTTAAATTATAATGAATCCTTAATACAGGTAACAAGTACATAATACTTAACAACTAGGCTTGCTAGTAAGTACCTATAATGTTTTAAATTAAATATTATAATTCTTATTTATGCACTTTTATAAAATTAATGTTTGTATATTGCAACTTGCAAGACATTAAATACGATAATTATACTAATTAAGTCAGAAGCCCCAGAACTATTGAGAAAGATTACAATATTATGTTAAGTTTTATCAGTTCTTACACTGTGAGAATACTTTGTTATAATATGTAAGTGATGTATTAGGCTAGATATTAAAATTATACTTAACATTGGAGCATTATGACAAAGCGTTTGGTAAAACCAATAAAGGGATTTCTTAATAGAGAGGAATATAGTAAAGCATTCTTAACATTCTTTACTTCATTACTTATTTCGAAATAAACTATCAAAAGCTATTCATAAAATATCTATGCGCTTCCATTCAAAAGAGATTTCTTTTCAAATTCCTCTCTTTGATTGTACAATTCTTGTACCAAACCTACAATAAAGGGATGCTTAAATTTACCTTCTGTAGCAGAGAAGAATTCTTGAAGTCTCCTGGGTGCGTTTTCACGCTTTTCATATTCGAACGCTTGAAGTATCATGTCATAGCGGTCCAAGTCTTTGGCAAACTTCGCTTCAGGAGAGCTTTGGTTTTCATACTCCTGAAAAACAGTGATAATTTATGCTGTTAAGTTCTCTCAATAATTATCCATTAGGAAATTGGTAAGAATCACTTTTCTTTAACAGATAACAAAGTGATTGTGGTATTCTTAAGTTCACACAGTCTGACACCATAGTTCTGCCTCTATTGTTACAGTACACCATAATGAAAAGGAATTAGAATTTATACTATCTAGGTAGGTTTTCTTTCATATAAGTGTAAGTTTACTGTACCTACCTCAATGCTGCAATAAATTAAATAAAATAAAACTTTTTCTTATTAGAAAACAATTTTGTGCTTTACTTTATTGTTTTGGCAGTGGCATATCTTTAAAAAAATCCTTTAAATTGTGTTTGATTGTAAATGGACACTATTAAAGTAGTTCATCCATAATGCTGCTGTATACCATGAAAAATCTATTGTAGGAATGCTATGTTGATTTATACCTTATAGAGTTCATACATTCTATCTCCAGCAAATCCCGTTAACTCAGCTATTTTCTGCATAGCCTCATCTTCTTGGCGATGTTTTTCCTCCGGAGACACTCCACAATGTGGAGTTATATCACCAACAATACATTCCGCTAGGTCATGAACTAGAGCTGAAATTACAAAATAAGAAAAAAATAATAATGACAATAAGTTCATTGGTGTATAATGCCTTGTTCAATGGAGGTACTTATTGGCTAAGAGCAATACTGTGCAACATTTTAGTCAAGTGTAAGATACATTTTATTGGGCCATTCAGTTTTTAACACAACTAAACATTGTGTACATACATTACCCATAGGCTACAGATAAGCAATGGATAAGGAATAAGTGTGCCCTTGTGTATTTGAGACTCATGAATAGGTGCCTATTTAAGTTATAAAGCAGAGGAACAAGGATCAATAAAAATTTTATCTATACTAATATTATAAAGCTGAAGAGTTTCTTTGTTTGCTTGAATGCACTAATCTAATAAAATTTGTGTTGGATAGCCCATTTATCGAGGAAGGTTTTAGGCTTTATAACATCACCCTACAGCCAATAGGGGCAGAGCAGCAAAGAAAAACGTTTCACGCGTACGAAGTCGGGGGCACAGCTAGTGACGATATAAAATGGAAATTTATTATTGTTCCTACCTATTTGAAGACATCTGAAGCGATCCAATTTCGAAGGATCGTTCTCCTCAGTGAGCAGGAATGTCATCATACCCATTCTGTACATGTGGCCAGCAATCGATTCACACTCGTTTATATCACAGATCACCCACCCTGTTCTTCTGACATGCTGAAAAGAACGTAATTCCAATTTAGAAATGCGCAAAAAATTAAGTAACCAATGCGGAAATATAAAAGAAATAGAAGTTTACCTTCAATCGTCCAACTAGTTCCAAAAATTCAAGAATTTTCTTATTATCTGCTAGTTGAGCCATCACTTAATGAATATTCTTTGGACTTTTATAATAATATAATGTTCCGAAGATTTCTATACCTTTTCAGGGAACAATCTTCAAAGGGAAAGGGATAAAACGAAATGACAAAAACAGAAGAATGACAGACAGCCAGAACAAGATTGACTTTAATGACAGATTATCATGACATTACTCACCACAGACTAGTAAAAAAAGTGAGCGCGTTTAGCCGAAAATAGCGCTCGTTAGAAATTGCTAGCAAAATGGCGATTGCTATGGCCCATTAAAAACTTTAGCACGTTTTCGGCGAGGACACGTTTGCTAAACTTCAAAAGTGACGTTTTCTCATACATTGTTTGACAGTGACAGCACTTATCGCTAAAAGGATGCCATGACGTTTCTTATTAGCGCTATTTTCTGCCAAACGCGCCCAGTGTGTGTTCCCGCCTGAGGCAGGGAAAAAATGGAGGGAAACGAAAAAATAAAGACATTTTTTTCTCTTCTCATTTTTTGTCTTTATTTTTTCCACATTCCAGTATAATATTCGTAACATAATTATTGCGGAAAGCAGATGAACTTACTGATTGTACATAATTATGTAGATATAAGCGGGGGCTTGCACCGGGTAAAATCCGTACATTTTGCGCGAATTTATTCCATGTACAGATTTACAGAAGTTTGTCAACTAGGACTTACAAACTCTTGCTCCTGACATCTGCTCTTCCCGCTCAGTGAGTGTGGTGATAACTGTCTATAGTCCAATCTTTATAGTCATTCATTTTTCTAGTTCATGATAGCCTTTTTAAGTTTCTAGTGGTTGGTAGTTCAAGTTTTTGTATTTTAACCTAATTTGCAACAAAAATACAATGGGCGAGTTTAGTGCCTGATTTTTTTTCCTCCAGTCAGCTTAGCTAGGCGAGCTAGGCAGAAAATATCTACGTACCCTAGTGGCAGTTTATTTATCTATAAATAAGAACTAAAGTAACTTGAGTGCTATACATTTTAGGTGGGTTTAAGTAAAATTTCTTAAATGTATAAAAGTTAGGTACTACTACCTACTTAAAATTATGGGAATCACATTGAGTATGTTTAACAGTTGCGTAAAAGAAAAGTAACACAACGAATGCAAAACACTTGAGTCACTCGAGCTTGGCTGATTTCACAGGATTCGTTAGTATTAACGGGACAGGCTCGCAGCAAGTGTTGTTCGTAATGTTAATGGTACAAAGTTGATTAATATGACCGATGGACGTACCTGGAGGCGCTCTATGAATGGCAATGGGCTTATACCGCTACGTAAATTTGAATTCTATCTTCAAGTTTGCGGGCAGTGAAAATGTGGAAGTCCTGGCCGACGGTCGACCAATTAGATTTAGCTCCAAAATGAGCGTTCTAACCCGTTTGAAGTCGAACAAAGTTTTGGTATGTGTGAAAAGTTAGTGTTGCTCGCAGTGAATCGAATGTTTGTGACTGGGAAGCGGAGCTGGAATGATTTTGTGGTTGTTTGCTATTTGTACAGGTTCGTGAATTAATCAGTAGCGGCAATTTGCGCTTTCGATCTAAAACGCGTTCGACATTTTCCGCCACTACTCGAATCTGTTAATTGGTGTGGTCGTGGAAGTGCCTCTACATCCTACCTTAGTGATTATTCATTTACTATGCCTACGTGGAAGATAAATATTGATTTACCTAAATCTGGATTTGAATTATATTTATCAAGTTCTACGTTAAATACTTAAACAATTTGTTTGAATGAAGCAATGTAAAATTCGCAAACTATTGCTTTATTTCGTGGTGAACAAAACCCGGTAAAAGTCCACCTCAGAATTTGCTGCGTTATGTTCTATCTACTTAAAAAGTTAGATAGGTATAGCAAGTATATAAAATAATAGTTAAATATTCATTCATTATGGTCATGGTCATGGGTTACTGCTTCTCAAAAGGTGGAATCGTATTTATTGGCCATTGACTAGTTTAGCACTTACATCGTAGTTCACCTTAGGGGTTACATTATAGGCGCTACTAATGGTTTGTGTCCTATGATTATGGGCTATTTATGTGAAAATTTAGTAAAAAAAATAGAAGAAGCATTTATTTACACAGGAATTTTGATAATAAACTAACTAGGACTCTTCAGTTTTGGCGTTTTATTACCATCTTAACTCTCACAATACTTACTTTCAATAGTAAGAAAAATCATCCTCGACTAAATTAATGGAAGAACATGCACTAATAGATGTCTACTATCATCATACTTAGTATGTATTTTACGAAAGCGCAATATACTTAGGTAGTAAATCAATTATCACGTGGTTTAATAAATTGCCCAGCCGGGCTAGGATGCGCGCCGTGATAAAGTCTTATCGATGATTTTAGACGACAAACGTATGGGATTATCCCTTTAAATCGATAAAATGGCACAATAAAAGCTTATCGCGGCGCGCATCCTAGGCCTATAACAGTTCAGACATTACATTAATTGAAGAAAATAACTGTAAGTCTCTAATCTACTTAGTACGTCCAAGTTTGCTAACGGTATTGCGGCCCAACAGAACCACATAATAACACAATGTACCTAGGCACATTGCATTTCCTGAGACTGGTTCTAGACTTTGCGGTCAAATCCAAAGTTTGTTAGATTTTCGGCTCATTTCATAAGGAAGCAAGGTTCTTACTGCACTAAAGGACTTTCGATGTCAAATTGTACCGGTTACGAGTAACTTTCACTGGGCTGTGATATGGCTAGTATTTATGAGTACAGAACCTACGCTGCATACTAAATTGCATAGATATGGCAGATAACGCCCGCATCCCCGGTTGTTACCATATTCATGAGTGCAAGGTACCTTTAGATTATCAATTAGCAGCCATACCGTCTCTAGAAAAGAAAAGGAATACTTGAAACCAGTCAGGTAACAAACTTAATCCACATTGTAATTTTTACATTGCTTCCTTGGGCATCCTTCCAATTTCCAATTTAAGTTAGATCAAAGGTTTTTTTCGTTTTATCTTCTCTACATTTTTACTGTCATACTTGCTACTCTAAAATCAAGCGAAGTATTCTAAAAATTGTTACACTGAGTACCATAGAGTACCATTTAGAAGAATGAAAAGCACTTCACGGCAAATGTAGTGTTGGTGCTGCTTAATGAACCGATGACCTGCAGATAGCCGGTTGAAATAAAAATATCGTGCTTAAAAAGGTGCTCCTTGGAGACTCCTTAGCAGACAACTGCTCTCCTTAGTATAAGCTTGTAGCGTTGCAATTTTGGCTGTTTTCACAAATTGATATTTCTTCTCGATATTTGGATTTAGGATACCACTAGCGACATCTATTGGCGTGATTTAGAATTAATTTGCAATAGATGGCGCTTTTTGCTCAGTCAATTCAAATATATTTTATTGAAACATTTCCTAGTGTTTTTATATTGATTATTCTATTTTTCAAATGGAATATNAAGCTGACTGAACTAATGATGAATATGATGATATTTTGTTCTTTTCAGGAGTGTCGGGGATTCAGTGGGATGCACCCACACCCTACGACCCCGTGTGGCTGGCAAGCGTGCAGCTTTATCCAGCTATTCCACCCCTCAACGAAACCCGGTTTTGGTGGGGCTGGGTCTATGAACAGGATGTCCAGTTCAGACTTTTTACTAGGTAACTAAAATTTTTTTTATCCTACACGAGGAAGCTCTTGGCCTGCATCTCACCTGATGGAAAGTGATGATCAGGTCCAAGATGGAAGCGAGCTTCAACCGAAAATCTCGGAATCCCACATAGGTACGAACTGGCTATTTTACCTCCAACTGCGAATGCACAACAATTCTCATAACATTGTTGTTGTGGCTATAGACTTAAGTATCATGGTGGTAACTAGCCAGGCGGACATAGAAAAAAAATACATACAAAATAAAAGAGGCTTATGCCCGTTTTCACCATCAATTCCTAATGTTTAAGTGAAACCTAACCTATGGTAACAACACATATCAGGCATTTCGTTTTCATAGGGGTCACTTAAAAATTAGGGATTGATGGTGAAAACGGGCATAAAATATACAAACGTAGGAAATTTGCAATTTGACATTTTGGAAAGTAGCCTCTTTCATTGTAATTTACAAGTACTTTTTATCAAAATGTCGATAACTCTACCTAAGATAACTTGCAAAGCATACCTACCTCAGCTGAATTGATTTGATTTACCCACATACCATATTGACGCAGGTTTAATCTAGTTGTTTCTGTGATCTCGTCGAATATTGATTACGGACTGCAGCTGGGAAATACACATGTGTTAGTTATGGCAAGAAGTTAGTTCGGCACGGTTTGCAATTTGAAAGATGGGGCAACTAACCGTTCAAGTTTCCCTTCTTGCCCCTTATCTTGGCATGTGGGGAAGTAATATCATGTTATTATAGTATGAGATTAATATAGACACGGGTATCACAAGAAGGACACCAAACTCTAGAGACTATAATTAAAAATTCCTTGGTGCCGACTTTATCCTAGATGTTCATGAAGCAGAGCTATTGTCACCAAAATCTGTATTGAAAACATTGTAACAAAAAATCTCCAAAATCTTTTTGAAGCACAAAATAATCGAAACACCTTAACAATTAAAAGGTTAATCTTTAGATGAAAGTTTCGACGAATTTTTTCAATGCCTTTTCTCAGAAAAGAAGTGCTTTCTTTTGTTTTTTACTAGAATTAAAAGGTTGCTTTTAGGAACTGTAATTATTTTGTGTTATTTGTAAAAAGGTAGGTAATTACGTGTATCGAATGGTTTGTTTACATATCTAATATTCATTTTCATTCATCACTCAATGGAAAAAAAATTCATCATCATTCTTTATTCTCTCCGAATCACGCTGAAACCGTACCGACTATAATTTTTTTTTATTATTTCAGGAGCAATCCATTTGAATATCAAATTATTAAAATCAATGACACGAAGTCTCTTTACGACTCGCACTTCGACTTCAACAAAAAGGTGAAGGTGCTCACCCATGGATGGCTTAACCATGGAGATAGCCCCATGCCCGAATCCATCAAAGAAGGTACATCTTCTGTCCATTTTTTAAATGAGATTATAGAAGTAACTACCTATATTGAAACGAAGCTCACGCACACGAAGAATTTGGATCAAGTTGAATAATGTTTCAAAAT